CGAGTAAAGACGCGCAGAGTCGGGATCCCGTCGGCATCGCTTTTCTTGACGAATATTCATATATAGGCATGTGCACTTTGAAGCCGGAACGCCCGGTGCTGCCGTTTCTTCGGTTCCTTGGTAGTAATGGGCTTACCAGCCCATCTTAATGTTGGAGATAGTCAGACTTGACCAGGGAAATCATCTGACGTTTATATTTCTCTGTTACCGGGTGACATCCCTTGAAAGCCCGATCCTGTCCAGGTTGGTCACCAGCAAAGTCGGAGAAAACCATACATCAACTCTTTGGAGTGTAAAGTACGCAGAAACCTCGAGGTTCCCTCAGATAATTGCTTCTTCTTGAATTTTTGTGTCAACGACAAGAACCCCTGGTCCCGCGTCGGGCGCTGCCGAGACAAGCCTCGACCTGACACCCGCCGTGCATGTCTTGGCCCTTTGGGTGAGTGGGTGCCCTCTTCGGAGTCATGCCTCCCACCGCCATGTCTCTTGATCAAACAGTCGAACCGGCCGAAGAGTTTCCGGACCACCAACATATTTACACTACGGATTGCTCCCTCTTCTCGTCCTGTAGGTTATCCGAACCGTCTACTGCGTAAGAGTCTGATATGATCGGATTGCCCAGTCGGCAAGCACCCCTGATTCGGCGGATGCTCCCATTGGAATGCAGCTGTCACAGCTCCTGCAGGAGACAACTTTGCCAGCCAGGGGTGGTGAGATGCCGCCGCCAATAGCGGCTTGCAGCATATCTAGGGGGGAGGAAACAAGGAAGCGACTCCTTCCGCGGCGCGGAGTTGGACCCGCCCCGCTGGAAACCAACAAGCTCAGGCCAGTGTGTCTCGCTGCAGCTACCTCGAGCTCGGTGGCCGGTGGGTGGTGTGTCACGGCATGGATGAATGTGAGTTGATTGTGTATTCGGTAATTGACAACTCTAATTTGACTTTTGCGAATAGCCATTCCCATTGACGATGACGTCCTCTAATTTGTTCGAGAAGCAAACTCGATGGGCAACGTTGGACCTCAGCGGGATCACATGGCCAAGGGATGCAAACAAGCTCTTCATCACCCCCTCCTCTTCGTCACATTTCGACATATCATGGGTAGCTGCTTGAGGTATCGGACAGCTCATACTTTTATCCCCCAAAAGCCTCACCTGCATTTCCATCACAACGAATCGCATGTTACTAATTGGCAAATGGGAGAAAAGAAGCTAGATTACAAGGGTCTCTTTTAAGCTAATAAAGCTAGGCTCCTTCTCGAGACTCCAACTCAACCACGAGATGGGCCACAATGGGGTAGGGGGGTATTTGCTAGTTTCGGAGACGCAAGACCCGAAACCAGAGCTTCGACCCCTACCTGCACCTTGGGCTTTCCCAGATGGGACCCCGACCCCATCGACGTTTCCGGCCCTTCCTTTGTTTCTTCCATGACAGATCTGTGACAATTCTTTTTGTGTTCTGCATTCCTTCTCTTTTTCTTCTTGTCCTCGTGGGACTTTCTTAACGCATACCACATCTTATAGCATCCCGTTATTGCTGTGCTGGCATCGGATTCATCCCCCAGTTTTGATGCACAAGCTCTAGAGATTATCAAACCGACCCGGGCCTCGACTGGTCTCGAACCCCTCCTCCCATTGACCTAATTGTATCCAACGGGCGACAAGCTATTGTCATCATAAGACTTCACTTGGGATATCCTCGTGCTGTCGTCGACCCCTAGGCAACCTCTCGCCATTTCGATGCTCCCAGAGCACTTGGCATCATCATGGTATCATCAGTCTTTGTGCTCGCTGCAGCTGTGGTCGCCTACGGCGTATATGCCTACGCCTCCGGTCTACAGCGCAATATAGCAGAAGCAAAGAAAGTTGGCCTGCCATATGTCGTCACCCGTACGTGTTCAAAGATACAACCATATTCCCATTATATCAGGAACTGACTGTGCCAAAGCCGCGTCACCCTTTTCAATAATATGGCAGCTCACACACGAGTTCTGGCTACCCATCATCAAGTCATTACCTAAATCTTGGTGGGAAAACTGGCTCGAGTTAGTTCCCTGACTGGACTGCACCGTCCATTGCGGGCCCCCCTGCTGATACCAATGCCTTGCGAATAGAGTCCTCATACCGAATTGGTCCTATAATCTACTTCACAAGCCCTTCGCACGCATCGGCGAGACTTTTATGGTCGTATCGCCCTTCCAAATTCTCATCCTGACCGACAGCGCCGAAGCCATCCACCAGATCACACAGCAGCGCGAAAAGTTCCCAAAGCTAGTCGAGACTTACGCCATTCTGAAGCAGTTTGGCGACAATGTCCTGACCACCGAGGGCGCCGTCTGGCGCATGCACCGCAAGGTGACATCCGCGACCTTTAACGAGAAGAACGCCTCCCTCGTTTTTGCCGAGTCGATCAAGCAGGCACAGAGCATGACGCGCAAGTGGCTGGGCACGGCCGGGGAGAAGAGCAAGGAGACTATCCAGACGTTGGATCACGATACGATGCGGCTCGCCCTCAACATTATCAGCTACGTGGGGTTCGGAATGCGCCTGCTCTGGCCGGGACAGTCGCTCGCCGAGGGGGCGGACCCGAAGCTCACAAAGTACAGCTCGCTCGAGGCGGCCCCGGGACACACAATGAGCTTTGCCGATGCCATTGCTGAGATGCTGGAGCATATCTTGGTTCTGTTATTGGTGCCGCACAAGATTCTAAAGTTGCTGCCCTTCAAGTATACGAAGCAGGCCATTGACTCGCACGACAACTATGTTCAGTACATTGACGAGCTGATGCAGGACAAGATTGAGGATCTGCAGAACGGCGACCACAGCGACGCCGGCATGGACCTCATGGGCCAGCTTGTGAGATCGAAATACGGGGACGGAGCCGATGCCAACGGGGGTATCAACGGGAAGCTGTCAAAGGGCAAGGAGTCCAAGATCCCTCAGCTGTCCAGATCGGAAATCTCGGGTAACGCCTTCATCATGTTAGTCGCTGGCCACGAGACGACGGCGAACGCGATGCACTTTGGTCTGATTGAGATTGCCTGCAACCCGGCCGTGCAGCGACAGCTCCAGAAAGATATCGACGGCATCTTTGGCAACAGTGATCCGAGCACGTGGAACTACGAGAGCATGGTCAACCCGATGCTGGCGTCCATGCTGGGTGCCTGCATGAACGAGACGCTGCGGATGACACCGGCGGTGGTAGAGATTCCCAAAAAGGTCAGCCCGGAAGGCGACGGCATCATCACGCTGGACGGGGAGAAGTACGTCTTGCCAAAGGGGGCAAGTATCTCCATTGTGGGGGTGTCGGCGCACCGTAACCCGCGGAACTGGCCGTCGAAGCCGAGCAAGATTTCGGGTGCGGACCACGACCTGGATGACTACGCGCCGGAACGGTGGTACAGAGCCAGCTCCAAGACGGCGGCCGAGGTCAAGAGCGGCGGCGGCGGTGATGCGGAGGAGGATTACGGCGGGTACAGGGGCTCGGACACGAGCGAGAAGATGTTCCGGCCGGTGCGGGGGTCCTACGTGCCCTTCTCGGACGGGCCGCGGTCGTGTCTGGGGCGGCGGATCGCGCAGGTCGAAATCATTGCTGCGCTGTCCGTCGTGTTTCAGCGGCACAGTCTTGAGCTGGCGGTGGACGAGTGGGCTTCGGACGCCGAGGTGGAGGCCATGGGTCCGGAGGAGAGGCGGAAGCTGTATAAGAAGGCGCAGGACAAGTGCCGAGAGACTGTGAAGAAGGCGTCGACGATGTTGACGCTGAAGTTGCCTCAGGGGATGACTGTGCCTATTCGGATTGTCCCGAGAGGCGAGGAAAGGTTTGTCGACATTGTTGACTCGGTTTAGAATGGAACCAGTGATAGTAGCTGGGGGTGGCCTTGGCCTGGCTCGTGGTGGGATGCTGTCTTCGAAACTGTATAGTACTTATTCTCGGATGGATATATGGGAATACTCGGCAGGGTACAAGGCGGGGAGAAGGGTTGGAGTTCCATGTGCATGAAACTGAGGCTAAAATGGCAATTAATCTGAGAATTCAACCTATCAGCAGGTCATCGAGTTGAGCATGTGTAAGATGGTGGTGAGGTGGTTGATTGGCTGGGATGTTTTGGTTGTCCCGGCAGCTCATGTTGATCGCGAGAGGCTTCAAGGTGTTGACAACTTCGCGTTCAGTATACTGGAAGTGTGTGAGAGAGAGAAAGGCCACGTGTTCCCGTGAATATCCTCGCATCATCTTTGCTGAACAGGGTGCTTGCTTGACATGCGTGTATTTGGCATCTCCTTTATCAGCGGGAGATCACTAAACCGTTTGTTTACATGCCTTGCCTTATTCGGACAGCGTAGGTGGGTCTGATTGGCTGCGGCCGTCAATGGTGACATTCACTTACCGTCACCCGGTGCTCTTCAGGACGGGAGCCCACCTCCAGTGCTTCTGCCGCTCCCGGGAGAGGGGAGAGGGGACGGAAAGCGCGCTAAACCAGCCGCAATGTCCACGTCCACAATGGCACTGGACACCCCCTTTCCTCCCGCGCATCAGAGGGCATCAGCACACTTGCACGCTGCAGCGACACCAGCTGGAGCAGTCACGACTCACGGCAGCAGTCATCTCACAGCGATGGAAATCCCGTTGCGTCACTTCCCGTAGGACCACAGCAAGGGACCGAGGAAGGTAAACAACCCCCCCGGGCGCTTCGACCATTTTACCCCGTAGAACCCCCCAAAATCCACACGTTAATCACACCTCACCTGGACCCGACCCTTACAAGTTACAACCTAGCTCTTCAGCCCAGCTATCGTTGCCGTTATCACCACCGCATCCATCCAACTGCCCCTCCAAAACCGTCACCCTTTCAAAGTAGTTCCCACTACTAAAGGACAATCTGCCCTGCATTCACTGCAATTCTTCTACAAAGACATCTCTGTAATCGATCCGCTCGAGTCGCCGAGTCTGCGCGATTCATCTGATACCCTTTTTGATTAACATTTACCCCGTTTGAATCACCAAACAATGTCGGGCGCAAACTCGTGGTTGGCGAGGCAGCGGAAGAGCGACCTCGTCGAGATTGCCGAGCTGACCGGACTTACTGGGTGAGCATTTTCCTATGATTTTCTCCACGGACGCGAACTTTATGCAGCTGTGACGGGCTTCTTATTACCCTGCAAGTCGCACTCGGGCTGGGCGTGCGCTGCTGTCGCGTCGATTGCGACCGGCGTCAAGGCTGATTGAGGCGCGTCGAGCTGTCGCAGAATGGCCCACGATGCTATTCAGACCAAGCAAGAAAAGGCTAACAACGCGCTGCTTTCAGGTACGAGAATCAGAAAAAGGCCGACTTGGAAGTCACTCTCGATGAATACCTCGCCGAGAACACAATTCAGTTCTCCCAAAACCCCAAGCTCGCAGGCTACTATACCAGTCGCTCCAAGGCTGCCGGCTCACCCGTCAAGAGGGAAGCTCCCTTGACCGATCTCGTCAAGTCTACGCGTCGCAGGACGACGAGAGCCATCGAGGAGCTTCAGCCCGAGCCCGAACCCGAGTAAGCCACATTTGCTCACCCTTTACGCGATGCGCCTCAGAGGTCATCTACATCCCTGGATCGCGACTAACACGCGTCACAGAAGAGCCGAATCTTCGAGCCCGGAGCCTGCTTTCTCCACCGCACTGGCGACGCGAACTCCCGCCCGCAACCTCTCTCTTGCGAGCCGTATTCCTCTGCCCGCGACGCCTGCTGATGTCGCCGAGGCCGTCGACCGTCACACTGTCGCCCTGCGCGAGCGCGCGACAGAGCTCTACGACCAGTCCGGCATCCAGGAGGGCACCCAAGCCGTGCGCTCCTCTTTGTCAACCGTCACATCGGTGCTCTTCACTGTGGCCGCATTTGAGGCGTGGAACCTGAGAGCCGAGGTCCTGCCCCTTCGCTACGCCTTCACCATCCCCGCGATTCCGGCCCTGGGCACCAACTTCTACCCCGTCTACGTGCCTGACGCCTTCCTGTTCGTGACCTCGTCCTTCTGGTCGCCCGTCACCTTGTGGACTCTCACCTCTGTCCTCATCCCCTCCCTGTTTGGGTACTTTTACAACCTGAGCGCGGCGAGCCATCCCCAGCCTCGCGGCCGCAAGTCGTCGACCGTTGAGTACAATGTCGACCCCTTGGTCTTCAGCATCGTCAAGGCTTTGATCTCGTTCGTTGTCTACGCCCAAAAGGTCAACTTTGGCGGCTGGATCAATGAGAACTCGATCGACCGCATCAACGGCGCTCTGTATGGAGAGTGGAAGGGCATCTTGACCGGTGCTGCCATCACCGGGCTTGTAAGCCTCTACGATGCCGTGCTGAAGAAGTAGTACCCATCTGCTCGGAAAACGACGTTTCCTCGACCTCCTCGAGCACGTGGGACTCCTCCCAGCAGCCCGCGACGCACAAGAGGAAGACCTGGACGGAAACCTCGTGACAGCGTTGTTTGAACACTCGTGCCGCGTCAAACTAGGCGCCTTGCTTCTTTCTTTCTTGTCACTCAATGGCGGCGTTCTGGGCGTTTCATCGGCGTCATACGTGGCTGTTTGGCTGATACCTTTTTCAATTTGTGATTAGGATTCTCGAAATGATGGCCAACATCGTCTGATTTCCGGAGAATTCAGTCAGTCCCCTTGGCTTGGTTCGTCGGTCTTCTTCCTACTGCGGCGGCTTTCGTTTCTGGGACTGGGTGCGACTTGTTTGCTTATTCTCATGGGATTGGAATCTTGTTGCCTTCCCTACCATTGTAGTGTTTTTCAGTTATAGCGTTATGGACATTGGCGGGTGGGCGGCAGAGTTTCCCTTGTGATGGGAAACACGTCGACAGATTCTCCATATTGGATCTGGGAGGTAGGGCGCTGAGGCTGCTTTGGGTGCTTTGCCCTTGTAGAAGTCGTGAGAGATGACATGAGGAAATATACTGCTTTTGAAGTTCTACCCCATTGTCAGATGCTCTCTCTACGTACGCTTTACCTCTTGGTGACCAGACGTACAATAAGGTACAATGACAGCCTGGACACTTTGGGTGTGTGGTTGCAGACTACAGTGCCAAGAGCCGGCCTCTATCTTGGTCCATGATTACGTCCTGCAGCTTCTGCTGACTACCGAGAAGAAATCAGGCATCGAGAGCATTGTTCAACGCGATTGGAAGTGCGACCAAAGACATTAGGTCACGGCTACTCTCTGCTTCTTACAAGCACCAGTGATGTACATCCGCGCTGGAGGTGGTTATATAGTCGTGTGGAGAGATGAGATGGTTGGTCGAATAGGACCTTCAGGTGTAGTATCCCAACTCAAAGTTTCACGACATCGACAGCGATTATAGCACGTGACGCTTAGAGGGAAAGTGATGGATGGCAGTCTTCACAGAGGTCCATCCACCATGGCCATCCTCGGCTGACTAGATATCTCCAAGAGTGAGGAATAGATTCTGCGCGACTGTCACGCATTAACTACACTTGACGGTGCTTGAGACTGAATTATCGTGTGGCGAATACTCTTAAATAACCCATTCCCGGCAGAGAAGGGCTACGGTTATAGGTCATCTAGTCTCATTATAGTTATTCGCATACTCTGGTTTGATGACGGGCATATGTGAGCTCCCCCACGCGCTTACCTAAGGAACATCCAAACACCCGGACCATCCCGGCAGCCGGCCAGCCAATCAAAACGCCGCTAATGCAATTAGCGAGAAAAGAGGCGAAAACCATCAACGCTCGTCGACAACGTCAACCATCTTTCCCGAAAAAGAGAGCCCCCCCGACCCTTTTGCTGCCGAACGTCGTCCTCCGCCGGCCGCCCCTCCCCGCGATAAACCCTCTCCACTCCTCATCAACCTGCGAAAAGAAGACGAAACCATACCGGACACCAAGATGCTTTCCTCCACGAGGACAGCGGCCTCAATGGCCCTGCGAGGTAAGCTCTCCCCCGAGTCGTTGTCGTCCCCGGTCTGCCGAGGAACCGGACCCCAACCGCCACTACGAATCTCCCATTCGAGGGACTATCAATTGCGCGCCTACCCGGACGATATCCTCAATGACTCAGTCATTAACCATCAAGGAGATATTGTTGTGTCTCGCGGTTTCAATTGAAGCTCTGTTCGCGATGGGGGGAAGAGAAGCCGAAGCATTTGACTGACCTCAATTGGCCACTGTAGCGAAGCCCACCGCGTCCATCACCCCCTTCAGAATCGCCGCCGCCTCAATCTCCTCGTCGTCACGAAAGGACGCCAGCCCCGCCGCCGCGCACTCGACCGGTCTCATCAAGAAGGAGCGGAAGGAGGTGCCCCTGGTTAGCCAGGAGGGCACCAAGGGTGTTTTGCAATATGCTCTGTACGGCCCCCCCTCTATCTGCCTTGCATATGCCTCACCCCGATATCAAACACCGAGCTTCTCCTCTACCCCCAATGGCAGTACACTAACCAAGCAATCCTCTCTTTACAGCACCTCCCTCGACGTAATAACGAACTGGGCCCGTCAGTCCTCCCTCTGGCCCATGACCTTCGGCCTCGCCTGCTGCGCCGTCGAGATGATGCACCTCTCCACCCCCCGCTACGATCAGGATCGTCTCGGAATCATTTTCCGTGCCTCCCCCCGCCAGTCTGACGTGATGATCGTCGCCGGCACCCTCACCAACAAGATGGCCCCCGCCCTGCGCCAGGTCTACGACCAGATGCCCGAGCCCCGCTGGGTCGTCTCCATGGGCTCTTGCGCCAACGGCGGCGGCTACTACCACTACTCGTACTCCGTCGTCCGCGGCTGCGACCGCGTCGTCCCCGTCGACGTCTACGTCCCCGGCTGCCCCCCGACCTCCGAGGCCCTCATGTACGGCATCTTCCAGCTCCAGCGCAAGATGCGCAACACCAAGATCACCCGCATGTGGTACCGCAAGTAGATTTGCTACCTTGTTGCCGAGCTTCTCTTTGCCTGAGAACTGGGAAGTAAGAAGGAATCGATGCGGAATGGGGAGACATTCAGACGACGTGGCTGGGGGGAGCGGTATTTTAGGGCCGTATATCAAGCAGAGAGGTATTTGCGGTCAGTAGAAGGGGGAAAATGGCTAGGTCCGGGAAGAGATTGAGGTACGCCAGGCACGTTGGGCCCCTTTGATAACGGCAGGCTGGGCTTCATTTTTCCTTTGTATGCGGTTGCGTGCGTGGGCGTGGCTATGTACATATGCGGAGGATTCACCCGCAGACGATCGCGGTCGTGTAGATTACAAGTTCTGCCATCATTTCAAAACCTTGTTTAACTTAAACTGAAAGCCCCGTGTCGTAATAGGATCAGGATCAGGATATCTTCAAGTTGTGGACTGGAATATCCTACTTCGAAACCCGTAGTGTATCGAGCATGGATAATCTGCATCATCCAATGGAGACAGGCTGCTGTATCTAAACCGCTGTTGAGGCTCTGCTCTACAGAATAACCACACCAAAATTAAGACGGCCCGAGAGGCCTTGGCATAGCTGGATAGACACAAACACGCGCAACGGTGCTCTCAGATGAGGTACGTATGTATATAACTATGTCTGATGCGGATATCGCACTGGAGTTGTGATGCCCGAGAATAATCAAATGTGCCCGTCATCCCTTTGCTTAGCTTTCCTGTCTCTTGCCCTCGGAAGCCCTGGTCGTTTGAGCATCTTTCCTTCCCGAGGCGGTAATTAAGTGTCCCTCCTTGCTGCGGACTCACTTCGCAGACATCTAGGTTCTCGATGCAAATTCGCCACACCCAAGGAGCTTTTGGTACAACACAGTTCCCTTTGACAACTCTGCTCTTACTTTGCCACATTTCGACTCGAATCGCTTCGTCTCGTCATCACTTTCCACTACCCCTCCGCATATAGAAAGAAGAAGAAACAGAGGTTTATTCCAAGTATCCCTACCGCACGCCGAACATCCGAATGAATTTGATGCTGTGAAATCATACTAGCAGTAGCTTTGAGCCGAGCCCACCCCAACGTGTACTGGATGCAATGTGCTTTGCACATGCTGTCCTCACATTCAGCGGCGAGGATCCAGCCACTACGTGGCGAAGGCGCGTGCTTCCGTCGTCCTTTTTGCAAATGCTTGGACGCATAAGCTAAGACATGGGCCCCATCGGACGTATGAGGCATCTATTCTTGACCGAAGCCCATAGTCTCTTCAACGGCAATTGTAAGCTTCTGCTGAAGCATTTCCAGACTCTTGTATGGCGGTAGGTCCAGTCGGTTGAAACTAGTAAAGGGTCAGCGCTTGAACAGATTCGGCAAGCTGTGGGTGAGTATCTTACCATGTGTGAGCCTTGGGAAGATTGTTAATCTCTCCAGCCTTTTCGATTGTAAATCTTCTCGGACCGTCACTTCCTTGCAAATCCTTGAAACCGTTGACCGGGATACGCGATGTACCCGTCGCGAACTGAAGTAGACGCGACTTCTGCTCTCCATCCCACGAACGGATCGTCTGCCAGAAGAACTGGATAACCTCATCTGACTCTGTGTATCCACGGTAATCGGTGTGCTTCTTCCAGTCGTCCACGTCGATCTCGGCGATACCACCAATAAGCAACTCGAGCTCACGTTCGTCGAAAACGTTGACCAAGTCCTGAGGGATAAGCTCATGGAAGCCATCCTTAAAGGCTTGGAATTGCTCCGCGATACGCTTCTCGATTCTCCACTTCACCATGAGGTCGACGTACTCCTTCTTGTTCTCGTTCGTCACATCGATGTCACGACCGCCGGGGATGAGATCCTCCACAGTCATGACACCGAAACGCTCGTCTTCGGTGGAGAATGTCTGCTCGAGGATTCCTCCAGAAATGTCGTTGTCCAACATCCACTGCAAAGAGCGGTGGAAGTCGGCATCCACACCTTCCATGTCGGCTAGGACGACCGACTTGCCCAGTATCATCTTGTACAGAGCACCGATGAAGAAGGCATCGAGGAAACGACGATGGAAAATCGCCAAGCCAACAACGCGACCAATGAACTTGAAGTAGTTCAAATGCTCGGGGTTGATACCGGAATGGGGGTTGATTTGAAGGGTGTAGTTGTCGTGGGCGGAGTACTCGAACAGGCAGTAGAACGGGTTGAACATCTCGTGGGAGAGGAGGAAGAAGAACTCTCTGGAGAGACCACCGTAATCCAAACCATCCTCGCCATCGAATTTGATCATAAGTCGCTTTTTCAAATCGGTAGCAGACTGCCGAGTGATTTCTGCAAAGGAGTCCTCGAAAATATGAGAACGCCGCACCTTGATGTGGCATTGTCCGGAAAGGATGCGCATCGCAGGTTGCGAGCGGAAGTAAATGAGCTTTCTCCTGAAGTCTCGCTTGTACTGTGGTACGTTCTGATCCAGGGATGACGGCAAACGGGGATCGTCCCACGTTGTGGTCTTTGTGTTGTGGTCCACGAAATACACTCGAGCAGTGTTCGTGAGACGCATCTCCCAACCGCTTGGCAGAGGTCCCAACTGAGAAACGGGCTGTTGCTGGATGGTGCCGTTGGTTGCGTTTTGGCCTCCGTACATACGGATGTACTGCTGGCGGCGGGGGTCAACCCAGGTAGTCGTACGGGTGTTGTGGTCCACGAAATACGGGCGGCCTTCAGGAGTCCATCTCTGTTCCCAACCAGGCGGCAGCTCGCCAGTGCCCGGGCTTGTCGCTCCAGTGTGCATCATCGTAGCGTTGTTTGCGCTTTGAGCGGCTGCTTGCTGAGCTTGCAAAGTCGGGGAGTTCGCGCCGGTTCGATCCTCGGGGAGGGTTCGGTTCTGATGTCTCTGGCGCTCCACTTGGGTTGCGGCTTCACGATCGTTCCTCTGTTCCACAGCCCCGGCAACGGTCGGTCTGTTCCAGCTAGTAGTTCTTGTGTTGTGATCAACGTAATATGTACGGCCAAGGTTATCCTCTCGGCGTTCCCAACCGGCCGGCAAGCGCCCTTGCGCATCTTCAAAGGGGCTCAATGTGCTAGAGTTGCGTGCCGGAGGCGGCCCGCCATTCGCGGCCGGAGGAGGGCCGGTGGAAGTCATACTCGCAGGTCGGTGCGGCAGGTTTACTTGAGAACCAGGAGCTGGGCCGCCATTCGGAACACCCATGGCCGAGCCGGGTCTAGCGTCAGCCGTCGGGGCCGAGAGCGTCGAAAGGCTGGACCCTTGAGCAGGCGGAACAAGTGAGGGACGGCTGGATGATGCTTGCCCAGCCCGCGCTGGTGTGGTAAGGTTTGTTGACAGATTTACGATCAGCTTTCCGTGCACAACTAGGTTATCGGTCGACTTCTTGAGGTCTCGCGTGAGCATTTGGTCTGTGGGGCACGGCATTTGTCAGTCAAGTCTGTGGCGACAACGCAAGCAGGAATGCGGCAGAGAATGTTACCATCAGCGTCCGGTGCCAGCTCAATCACATCGCCAATCCTAACGTTGATTACACCAAGGAAACCTTGGTCCTTCTTCTTGAACTTCTTCTGGTCAAATACCTGAACCGCGAGAATGGTGTCTTCGTTCACGTTGCTAAATGATGTCAGAGGATGGTTTTGGCTGCGATGAGCATATTGGGGGCTAGAACATACAGGTCGAAGCTCTCGTTCCAGTATGGGTTCAATGTCCGCTTCTGTGCACTCGTAGTCTTGGTCTGGTCTCCGTTGACGGTGATGACGGCGAAGGGATCCGGAAACCCTGTTTTACGTGTTAATGGTTTATTTCAACGGATCGGAAGGGGGTGGCGACGTACGGAAGACATCTCGCTTGTACAAGCCATCAGCAGCGATAACTGCGTTGAAGTTAGTATTGATAGCCGTTGCGCAGAGGGAGCGACCTGGGGATGACGAACTCGTTACTCGGAGGTTGGGCTTGCGGCTACAGACATCAGAGTTAGCTCTCGTGATTTGTTCACCGTCGGTGACGTCCAAATGGCAGCGTCTACAGACTGACGGAAAAAGATCAGATGCACTACTTACTTGGGCTGCCCGGCATCATTGCGGGAGGAACTCATTTCGTCGCGGGATAGCCAGCGACAACGGTGTCGACTCCCAAAATATCTGGCGTGCTCAGAACAAGGTCGTTCGTTCTTGGAACAAATGAGGGGTTAGACGAGGACGATTCGCGGATGACGTTTGAGAGTGACCGGTCGCGGCGATACGACGGAATGGATTATCGAAAACAATAGGGACGGGAATGCAGCAAAAGGATGCTTTTGCTGGTGAGATGTAGCGTAGTGTGGATTGGCGTTGACGACGACGATGACAAGGACGACGGCGAAAGGCAGAGCTGAGGCAGTGCAGTGCTGTGCAGTGCAGTGCAGAAAAGCCCCCCGCTTCGACGAGCCAAGTGGGCTGGGTTTTTGGGGGCCTTGGAGTTCCCTTCGGGGGTGCGGCGGATGATAAGGTGACGCGGCGGGCGGGAAGACCGAGCGAGGCTAAGAAAGCAACGGAGGGACGGTAAGGATACTGGCGGGATCGAATCGAACCAGCGATGCAGTAGACTTCGTTCGCCGTCTATATGTCTCTCTCTCTCTCTCTCCGGAGGGCGACGAAGATCGACCGGTGGGATTCGATTGAGGGAGTTTGGAGGTTGTTGATGGAGGAGACAGGATGGAGCGAGTTTGGTGTTTTGGCAAGGTAAGTCAGTCAGTTGCCCCCGTCTGAGCGCTTGTCAAACGGTACGTGTGTGCGAGTGGATTTGTCTCCGGTCGGAAGTTCGCAGCAGAGGAAAGAAGGTTGTTAGGCGTGATGCGGGAGGTGAGGTATGCGGTGGGTAGGTGGTGGGTGGTATGGTAGTTAGGCGGACGGGCGAGGAAGTGTCAGGTCCAGCGCTATCTGACTCTGCTCCAGTGTGCGGCTTGCGGCGTGCGGCGTGCGGCCTGCCTGTGCTTCCATCAGCTTTCGCCCTTGATGACCTCAGCAGGGTGGCAGACGGGAGCAGTGATTACGGCACCTGCAGCAATGGTGACAGCGGTAACAGCGACGCAGCTGCAGTGGCAGGGCAGTGATGTGTAGCGGCCTAGGCGAGGTACCTCCACTGTTGGTAAGGCAGGTCAATAGGTACTGACGGTGAGTGTACATAGGATGAGGTGAGGGAGATGCATCCGCAGGTGAGTGTCCCAGGCGATTCCCAGCTCGGTTCGACATCAAGAGCCAAGGAACCTGGAAGTGCGGATGGCGAATCCCACTTGTTAGTACTTGGCGGGACCCAAAGGTCACTGTGGAGTACCACGGAAAGCGGGTAAAACCTCTCGGCGGTGGTCGGGTCGTCGAGACCGGATCCACAGATGAAGACCCACTCGCTTCGAGCACCTTGAGAAGTGCAAGTACCTATTCTTCACCTGACTCACCGAGTCACCATGAACAAGCACTTCATCCAGAAGAACTCAAATACACTTTCATACATTGTGGATGGCTTTGGAATCGAGGGAGGCCATGGTATTGTCGAAATGACATGTCAAAACAAGTCTTGATCGGAGTGTTGCCTGGCAAAATGAAACGACAGATGGATGTGCGATACATGTGTACATGACGTCTCAGTCTAGGTTGATTGATGATGGATGGATATTGCTAGGCTCGCATTTTCTCTTTGCGTCTCGCTCATCACATACTGCAACTTGGCCATAGTATTTGGAAGCTGCGACCAGCTCTGTCTGCTTTCTCGTGAAATGTACAGTCGGAACTGGGAACTCGTCCTCCATCGATTCATATGTCCTACATTGTCTAGGAGTTCCCCGTCTGTCTCCATATCATCCACCTTGAACTCTGGTTCGGGCAGTGCGCGACTGAATGATGGACGCGAAGCAAGTACCTCACCTTAACTCTTTTGCAAGTACCTCGTCAAGGGCAACGAATGGCAGCGCAGGGAGAAAATGGAAATCAAAACAAACCAGACCGAGAGAGAGAGCGAGAGACAGGGCCTCCAGCTTTCCTAAACTTCTAAACACTGTTCCCAATGGTGTTTCGGATGCCCATGGCCGTCAGAAAGCTGCCAATCCCACGCGCCCCTTGCCTGCCTTTGCCTGTACCTGCGGTGCTGCGTGCCCTGACTGACTGGCATGGCCAAGTCTTTTCACCCTTGCCCCGTACTTCATAGTCAGTCGAATCCCGTCAAGCTGGAGGTGCCTCCAGATTCGAGAGAACGACCTTACAACCTGCCACTCGGTACGGGATCCCTGCCGACCTCACCTGTACCCTGACCCGCGCCGCCGTGCTAACAGTTGCGAACTTGGGACTGAGGGAGGGGCCCGAAAGGTTTGGGAGGCCCCTCAGTTCGGGCCGTAGACACAGAGTCCACAGAGTCACCAGGAGTCTAGAACCTGACCAAGCGATTGTATGAGCAGATGCCACTCTTTACATAATCTCTTGTGGCCACTTTGGAATCAGTATCCGTGTTATCAACAAAAGTCTCTGCTCTTGTTCTTCACCTTCGAGTCTTCCGCGGATAAGAGAAAAGTCGACTTCGTAATCTGTATTTCTCATCGCCTGCTTTCAAAGATCTTCTCTTGAGAAAAGCACGCACCGGCCGACTTGGGGACGCGAGAAAGCAGAAACGGCGCATTGTTCCTCATCCCATCCACCACCAACCCCCCGTTCATGCGCTACGGCCACCCTCTCTCTCTCACCTCTCGCTGTCTCCCGTTTCTCTGTCTCCCTCTGTCTTTCTCTCTGCATCTCACTACGTGCCTGTCTGTCTTCAGCATGTAACAACCTAGGTACCCATTCATCAAGCTCCTCCGTAGCATGGCAGCCAACTTCACCAGCGCTCTTCCTTAACGCTGATTCTCAAGGTTGCCTCAGGCCTTTGGAGGAGCATAATGGTTGGTGCCCGGCACGTCCAGTCCGTTCCCCCTCATCCCTCCCGACGGTCCAACCGTCACATCCATCCACATCCCTTCTTTTGCTCGGCGCGAGAGCACAGTGAACAAGAAGCGGCATAGGGTATACCATAAATAAACAAGAGACCAGCCCAAACGCAGTCGCCTGCCTAAAAGTCCTATCCAATCACCTTCCACCTCTGTCCAATTCCCTTCCGTTGGGAAAAGGGCAGAAAATGGGGAGGGCCCCTGCAATCCAATCGCAGCCGCGGGACCATGGGGCAAGAGGCAGAGAGATAGAAGGCAGGGGATCTCACGGCATCGCAACCTACAGAGTACAGCAAGCACGTGCCGCAGAGACGCTTCGCTTTTTGCTAATTCCCAATCCCAATGAAGGGCTCCAACCCGTCCAATCCTTTGGGTAGGAAGAACACCCTCTTGCCCTTCCTCTTCCAGGGCAGTCTTCCGTCGGTTTGACACCGTGTATGGTCAGGATGATTCCCAATGTCGATTGAGGCCCTCTTTCTGAGTGGCTTGCCTGCGCCGCCATCCCCCTTCAAACCACTGGGGACAGCCACTTCCGTGTGCCAGCTCGCGCGGGAGGGAGGGATGGATGCTTATTAGGAAGCCCGTCCTGAGGCGGGCAACTGTGCGCCCGGGTCGGGCGGCGTCGTGGGTCACCTGCGAAAGGACGGCACCACTAGGCTTGTTCGCCCGTCTCGTCTCGTCTACGTCCCGGCTCTGCGATTTTCACATGACTTGTCACTTGACGTTTGGATGCCATGACGTATAAGTCGACTCTCCTATACAGGGTGATGGAGATATCGTGATGCTATACATGCTTAATCTCTAATTAATTCCCAATTGCTCGGCATATCGCTATACAGTAAGGCTATACAGCGACTTGTGGCAAAGATATCATCTCATGGGGGTGTCTTTCGCAGCAGAAGCTCTGTAGATACAGTATCATAGGGGCCAGTTGTTACAGGATTAACTCAAAGATACTTCTATGCTAGGAAGTGTAGTTACAGGTCTATTGTACGAAGTGATATCCGTATAGGGCAAACTTTTCCACGCACCTGTGGTCAACTTGGAATACTAAAAAACATTCGTTCGCTGATTGCCCAGAAGTGTACAACGATGATTCCACGCCTTCTGTAGACTCGATGAACGGGAACCATACTTAAGAGGTCTCGGTTCCAGGCCCAGACTCTGTGGCCATTTCGATTCGGGGATGTCGATATCGAGGAACATACATCTCTACTTAAACTGCAGTATAGTCCATGTGACAGCAGAGATCTTTTTATGCGCTGGCATATGACGAGTGCTCAAACGTTAATCTGGGTTTGACTATAGGACGGGTATGCGTGCATCTTCACGAAGCTCGGCTGGGAGTGTAATGTTGGCTGGCTCACACCGCAAGGAATCTCGTCAATCGGCGTTACGCTTCTGTTCATCACATTCGACCTCTCCTGCCAGCCATAACCAGATTACGCATCAATCTACTAGCTGTCATTCCACAAGTTTTACTCGTTGTCCAAGATTGTACTCTGAGATGCGGGTGTTGATCCATCGAAATTGAAATACTCGTCGACTGAATGTAAAAGCCTGACCAAATCCCTGAACGCCATATTGAATCTTTCTCCTTTCCCTACCATCCTGTATGTTACAATCGAAGCAATGAATCGCGTCACGCCCACTAATCCGGGCTACTAGACACGAGCGAGCCCTCGAGAGGCGTCACTCTGCCTAATGCCTAATAAGGGGTGAATCCTCCTCTGCCACGGCCGCGGTAGCCTCCACGGTAGCCGCCACGAGGCGGGAAACCGCCACGGCCGCCGAGGCCGCCGCGACCTCCTCTGCCTCCGCCGCGACCACGACCGCGAGACATACCCGGAATGTTGGTGCGTTTGGGGACGACTTTGAGGTTGCGGCCCTTGAAGACGCTCTCATTAAGGACGAGGGCCTGGGCGACGAGGCTAGGCTCGGTGAACTCGACGTAGGCGTATCTGTAGCGCAAAAAAGATGTTAGTTTCCAAGCCAGTTCAAGACGCATTTCGTGGGTGGCTTCTGCAACGTACCCCTTGGGCTGTCCAGTGAACTTGTCCAACAAAATCGTGACGCGGTTGATGGAGCCACAGCTCTGGAAGTGAGCTTGAATCTCCTCAGGTGAAGCAGAGTAGTCGACGTTGCCGACGAAGATGCTGCGGCTGTCGATGTCCTCCTTGTTCTCTGAAAGTTCCCGACTCTGTTGGTCGAGGCTGGCTTGCATTTCGCGCAACTTGGCGGCCTCCTCTTCCATCTCGGCCACCCGCCTCTTCATCGCAGAGATCTCCTCCTACGGTCTTCTGTCAGTTTACCTCCTCTTATCTGCGAAGCCAATGGCGAATCAAGGCTCTTTGCGCACCTCATCGTGGCCGTCTTCCTCACCGACGCTGTTGTTCTCGATGTTGTGGTCCTCCACAGGGGTATCCTCGGGCTTGACGTCCGCCATGGCTGCAATGGTGGCAGTCGTTGTCGAGTGTGTTTGACGGTTCTGAGGAGGATAGACGATTAGCTATCGATGTTGGAACTGGGCAGGGAGAAATGGTGCGACAAGGCAGACGCGCCCTTTTTAAGGCGACCACAGCCTTGGGAGGGGCCCCCTCGCTCAAAGCTATTCGCGCCTACAGAGAGATCTCTCGTTTGAGAGGAAATACTCACAGCTGGAACGACCGCAGTTGACGAGCTCAGACCCTGAGCTAAATTGATGCAGCAGCTTGCGCAAAGGCTGAACAAGACGGGAGCTGGAGGATAAGGTAGACGTAGTGAAGGTATCCAGGAATTCTGATGCCAATGGGCAGGGGAAAATCCACGGTTTAGCCGGATGCTCCGATAAGAGATAAGAGCTCCGACCTCAAGCTTTCGTCAGGCAACGGACTTCTTACCTACCTTAGAGCTGGTAACGCACGCTCAGTCTATCCAGATGATGAATGAAAACTTCACAAAAATCACAGAGTTAAATATGAAGACGGGCTTTCGGTTTCTTCTTTTAAGTGCCCAAGGTGGCGTTGGTAGAAGAGGAAGGTACCGCGGACTCGCAAAGTCGAAATCGGTCAACCTTGGAAAGCACTTTGTCTAGCGGGGTTACGGAGCTAGCTGTGCCTGCCGCCGGCCGTGTAGATACCTTCTAGGTTGCTTCCTCTCAATTACTGAAAGCTCCGCGTACGTGAAGGGCATTCTGTTTACTGCTTTGTGACCACTCTGATCAAGACACCATTTTCATCAATACATTCACTGCTTCTGGCCGTAGAAACGCCTCGCGCTGATCCAATCCGTAGGCTCCATTCCAGGCTACTCTTGATATCGAGGTCTGGGATATGCGCCAGATGACTTTGAGAGACAAGATAATCTAGTGGGTGTCATCTGTCAATGGATTTCTGATCGGAGAAACAAAGAAACATATCAACCCGTGGATGCCTCCTCCTCCTCCTCCTCCTCCTCCTCTTCTCCATCTTTACCTTGTTGTCCTTACCGCCCGGTGAGCTCTTTGTCTTAGCAGGACCTCACTCGATCTTCGGCATCGACTTCAATACTTTTGATTAACTGGTTCAGTGGTACAATGACTAGGTCTCGAGACAAACCCTGCCCATGATACATTGGAAATTTCCACCGGTGCTGTCATAGCGGGGGCAGTCAATGTTTACTATTTACCTAGTGTAGAACGATGGGAACATTTTGGATGGGACCCCTCGACTCCTGGCGCAATTTACCGAGTCGATCACAACCGTGAGCAAAACGGCGCCGAATCCCCCCAGTCTCCGAGTTGCTCGTCCGTCCGTGATCCACCCGGGTCCGAGTCCGGAATCATTACGGAATCACCAAGATTGCCGTCCATACCTTCAGCTCCACGGTGAATGTGTTACCCTTCCTGTTCGTCATTGAAACCTTCTCGGAGGTTGTTGTCCCACACCAAGTGAGATGGTGTAGCGTCTTAGTCAGCAACCCAAGTACAGGATTGCGGCACCCGCGCCTCGTGCGCTTGTCGTCGAAAGCCCACGTGTGACGTCGCTGAAGGTGCACTGCGTCAGCACCGCATCGCCGGGTTGCCGGCTATCCTCCTTGGCCCCGGATTTTTGTTTTTGTTTCTGTGTTTTCCTATTGCCCGCGCTCATCTCGCTTCACCGCGCGAGGGGAAGGATCTGTCGTCGCCCGGATAGGCTGCGCATCGCGATCGTTGCACGCGCGCGATATACACTTCGTATTACCACGGGTCCTGTCTCTGGGGACCAAAAAGAACCCTTGCTTCCTGTTGTGCCCTGAATGGTGGGACCTTTCTTAATCAACCATGGCGTCTGACGATGAATCGATCCGGCCTTTGCTGTGGTCCTTCTCCGGATTCCGCGAGAACAGGCGGCCGGCGCCGATCAGGCGACAGCTGAACCAGTCACGGACGAGCCTTCAGGACGTACTCTCGTCTCGGAAGAAGCACTATGCCGTGTTGGCCCTCGTATCCCTCGACGTCGCTGCGCTTATGGCCAACATCTTTGTCGAGCTCGTCGCCTGCGATATGAAGCGGGAAGACGAGCCGTGGGTCAAGAACACGCGCGAGGGTCTCACCGTTGCCGGCCTCGTGTTCAGCTCTCTATTCTTGATCGAACTCGTATTGTGTGTCATTGCGTTTGGATGGAGGTGAGATAAATTCCCGGACCACATCTTTGATTAAGCGTAAATTCTAACTCAAGCCGTGGTCAGGTACTTTGCAGAGTGGTTTCACCTGCTGGATGGCATAGTCATCGTGGCAAGCTTTGTTATCGACGTGCTCTCGCACGGCATCGTGGAAGAAATTGCTTCCCTCGTCATTGTATTCCGTCTCTTCAGATTCGTCAAAGTGGTCGAGGAAATGAGCATGGGAGCCGCGGAGAGGATGGAGGGGCTCGAGGAGCAACTGGCGATTCTGAGGCGGGAGAATGGAGAGATGAAGAGGCAGTTGACACGGCGGTGATCTGGAGGCTGGAGGGCATGTTTCTGGTATTCTGGCATTACGGCATCGGTAGCATCGGTGGCAGCGCTTTCATGTGATGATCGATACCCTTCGGGAATGGACTAATGATAATGAATGATCAGGCACACAAGGAGCGCGTTTGCGAGTAGGCCGAAGGTGTTCTTGCTTCTCTGAATTGGCCAGCTTTATCTGACCGAATAAAATCTTCCTTTGTCAAGATGACGCTACTGCAACCCAAAAGTCGTGGAGGAACCTGCAAAACACACTGCTGATCTACCCATATACTTCAAACGCCTCGACCCGAAGTATGTTCAATCACCCTGCCACGAAGCCGCCGATGGCTTTTGCAAGAGCTTGTTGGACGGGTCCGGGGTAGCTGCCAGTCAGTTGTTGCTTGACCAACCACGGACTAGTGAACAACTCTGATCGACTCGGGCTTCTGATCAACGTTTCGATCTATGGATCGAGGTTGGACCGTTGGGCAATGGTGGTGTCGGCCGGACTTTCGGGGGCAGATGCGGTGGGTATGTGGTACGTTGCCGGCAGAGAACCTCCGCGATGCAACACCAGCCGCCCCGGCTGCTACTGCACCTCGTATTGCTGCTCTTACTGCATATACTATGCAGCTGCCAGTCAGGAGGCAGCCATTGGGCTGTGTGAAACAACTTTTATGATGTTCGCCTCCTCAACGTCCCGCCACGCTCCATATTCAAGGTGCTTCAGTGGATACCCCGTACTCAAGAACGAGAATAGCTTCAGGCAAACACGCCAATATAGCGCTAGTGGGCGAAAGACGTTGGATACGAAAAGGGCGAGATCGTTAGAAGAAGAAAAAAGGTGGCTGGATAGTAGCATCAAGAGGTATATGCCAATAAGATGCTTACAGTCATGAATAACGGCATAGGACCAACGAACTCGAAAGATGCAACACAAAAACACAACACGGACGCGACAGCAGGGAACGAGACCCATTGAAACTCGAGCCAAAAACAAAGAAGCGGCCAGTCAAAGAGCTACGCTTGCCGTGCCTTGAAGATGGGAAATAAGCATATCAAAATCTCGACCCTCGAGCCAAGGTGCCAGCAAACGGGCAGCCGCTACATATGCAACAAAAAGAGGTCAAAGCCTCTGCAGGAGAAACAACAGACGACAGCCGCGCCGTTCATGTTTAGATCAGACGCCTCGAGACCGGCTGCAGTCAGCCGCACTTCCCATGGCCTTTTCTTTGTCTTGGGAAGTTGAATGGGATTCTTCGCCACGAGAGTGAGATCTACGAATACGGATTATGACTTTTTCCCCAATACGCAGCTTGCAAAGAAACGTATACGTACGGGTACCACCCACAGGGAAACGGTACTTGCGTTTTGGTGCAACGCATCCAGTGGCATCCTTCGAGGTTCGGACGCCCTACCCTTGCTTCCTCGCGGCAGAAGGCGGCCAAGGGGGTAGGGTGAACCGTGAAGTCCAGGAAAGAAAAACAATGGCCCCAGAAAGAGGGAGCATTGTCCAATCAACAGCCCGTCAAATCGTCAGCCCCCTTGTTCACGAACAAGATTAGACTTCATCTCGACGTCCGGGCCCCATGTTCGCGCCGCCGTCGTTCGAACCTCGCTCCGTTTGTCTTGTTCCCGTTTTTCCTTCAACCGATCGTACCACCCTCCTTCTTCGGCAACCACTGCACAATATATTGGAAAGAAGCATAGCTGCCGAACCAGAACACGGCAAGGCAATATGTTCTGCATCCTGGTCAGCCACCGAGGGAGCACGGCACGGCAACTAGCATTCGAACCAGGCCCCTCGAGTGAGACTTGGATTTCTGCTGCCCAAAGAGAAAGAAAGGGGGATTTAGCAGAGGAGAAGACCAGCTAGTTCCAGCGTCTTCAGCCATGATGGCCCTAGATCGCGGTCGTATCTTCACCAACAATTTGGAAGCATTCCTCAAACCCGTCTCAAAGGAAATCTCCATCCTTCAGAAACGCCCACGGCCTCGAACTAGAAGGCTGGAGAAACACACAAGGCGCGCGTGCACAGCAATTTCTACACCATACAAACGGTTGCCCCCTTCTCTTCCGTCCCTGCTTGATGCTAGCAATGAGGACGGGGATTGGGGTTGGGTAGCTTCTACAGCCGAAAGTGGGAAGATTTGGGCGGGGATTGGCAGGGACACCAGGGTCACAGGGACCTTTCTCAAAGTGAGCACCGAGAAGTCTCCTCCTCCTCCTGATCCTCTCTGTCTCTCTCTTCGCAGCCCAGGGCTTGACGCCATCACCATGTTCCCAGTGTCGGTCCCCAATATCCACTCCCCTTTTGCTGCTGGCGAGTGGCGCCTGCTGCAGAGGGCGGATATTGTTTCCTTTTCTCCTCCCCCTCACTACTTTCCCACTGCCGCTGCTACCTCACTGTCACACACATATCGGATACACAGAGGAATACGGGGGCCCTAGCAAAGTAGCCTCATCAATCTCCATCAGTCAAGCAAGAATCCCCGAACCGCCAAACCCCTGGAGGTGCGGCTTCATGGCCCGCTCCCCCCTTCCTCCTGTGTGGTCCTCCACTTTGTTGGCTCCTCTGCCTGGAGAAGGAGAGAGAAAATGCCTGATCGGCCTATCATATATTCGAATTCGCTAGCGTCGCGCGCCACTGCTTTTGCCCGCCTCGGTCTAGTCGAGGGGGTGCGTGGAGTTGCTTCTCCTCGATCCTGATGCTAGTTCACTCTCCCACCCCCAGCCAACGGGTGCTCCCCCCAAGAGGATCATAAAAGTCCGGATACAACGTTTTGTGATGAAATTGCTGCCGTTCCCTAATTTGCTTAATATACTCCATCTGCCACCTTTCGCTCACTTTTCTCGTTTGCCTTTCCCTCCTCCTCCTCCCCTCCCGTAATAAGCCTCCGCCAACCCACTGTTCATCAAAAACAGCTTATTCCGTCTTCGACAAACCTAATTCCTCTCGGTTCGTCCAGTCACTCGCTACAGTCTTCAAGACTCTATACATTCGTTGGAACCACCATACAACCGTCGTTCTCGATAACCTCAAATACAAACCCCGTAATAATCGACTTTACCGTCAACACTTCCACACATTCAAAATGAAGTTCTTCTACCCTCTCGCTCTGGCCCTCGCCGCCGTCGTTGCCGCTGCCGATGATGACTGCGACGCCGCTCCCATCGTCGAGGCCTGCCTCACCAGCGAGAACGCAAAGGTAATATTCCCCAAAGACTCTACCCACCTATACTATGGTACTAACAAGACATGCTCTCTAGGTCAAGGACTGCAACTCCACCGACTACGACTGCCTCTGCGCCGCCTACCAGGCCGTCGCCACCTGCTACAACAACTGCCCCAAGGACTCCCGCGCCTCACCCGCCCAGAACCAGGTGACCATCTTCTGCCAGCAGGCCTCCCTCAACGGCTCCGCCGCCATGCGCAAGACGCAGTCCGTCGTCTCGGCCACCGGCTCCGCCACCGGTGCCGTTGCCTCCGCTTCGGCCTCTGCCACCGCCGCCACGGGCACCAGCGCCTCTGGCAGCTCCGCTTCCTCCACTGCCTCAGCCAGCTCCAGCTCCAGCACCGCCAACATGGGTGTTGGCCAGCTCGCCCGCAACACCGGCGGGGTTCTCCTCGCTGTTGCTGGTGTCGTTGCCGCTGTCCTCTAAACGAATGAAAAATCTTTTCAAGATAACGCACATAATCTTCCTCCTAAACCATCTTAGGGAAGGGGGGAACCAAGATACCAAACATCATGTCATTTAAAGCGATTATGTTTACGGTGCTCAAGAGATTTCAGCATGTTCCTTTTACGCAAAGACTACAGGACAGGACCTGATTTGACGGAGCATATTGGCACCCAAGCGAGAATTCGGGCCAAGGAAAGGGGGGAACGGCGAAAGAAAACCAACCACTTTTGTATATGCTTAATCTTTGTAATTACCTAATTCCAGCCAACCTTCATGAAGTTCACTTTTCATGGATGAGAGAGAAACAGGTCGACAAGAAAGAAAGAGAGACAGCATGTGCTAAAAGAGCCGGTTGATGATATCTGTGACTTCCCATTGAACATGTATTTCTCTGTCATCCGTTGCCTGGAGGAAACTGCCATGCGGATTGTCCATCTCGTTGAACGTGCCGTAGCTCATGTTACACAGCATTACAAGAAGAAATACAGTCGGTAGGTTTACTTACATACTAGTTTCAAAGTATGTTGCATCTAGCAAGGCAACAACACAACGAGAGACCGAAACGAAACAAAATATCACAGAAACCGGGGGTTGACTCAGCGACACTAACTCCGTAACAATCCCACGCCCCCCAAAATTCTCATATGTTTCGAAACATTTCTGAACCTACCTTACCACCTTACATTAGCGGCCAGGCCAACAACAACACTCCATGCATTCCCCAGCTCTTTGCGCGCACGTATCCGCAACGCATGCTTTTTGGCTGTTGTTGTCATTTGCTCCAAAGCAAGGAACGTACCTGCTTAGATGCCTCGAGTGTCTCATACTCGTCAGTCCCGACTTTCCCATTGCTAACCCCGTGTGGCCCCCAAATACATGCAGGGTATATCTCTCTGCTAAGGGTCTAGAATATGTCACAGATATATAGAAACGACAAGAGTTTGGTCAATAAACAACATTGCGGGTAGGACGAAAATCCGTACCGAGTATACTAGATGACGGATAATCGCGGCGTCAATCTCGAACCCCGAACCTGGATGCAGACCAACTCCTACGGCGATTCTCCGGTGCATCTTGCCTACCACCTATGATCTCCCTTTCTCGGCGCAATGTGCGCGAGTTTCGTCGGTTTGAAGTTGGTGGAGCATATCCATTTCGCCGATGATCTTCATCAAGAACCCTGACCCCTCCTTCAAGGAATGTCTGCCAAGTGTGAATCTCGGCGCCAAGAATGTATTCTCTGGAGGCGACGAGGTAGCAACATCACCAAAGTCACGTGCAGATCATGTAGACAATTCAAGATTGGTTGCTCAATGTGAGCTCGTTATCGTCATTGTTTTCATCAAGCCTTCTTCTCCAACCGCTATGATACAACACGAGTGTCCTCGAATCCTACAGCTGGCTCATAAGCGTTGTGTCCCTCCTTCGGGAGACCATCTCCCTCTTTTTCGAGTATCGTCGCGGGCCTCAGTCCCCTACCTCCAGGAGGACTTTGGTCCAAGGCAGTGAAGTTGTAACAGTATAAAGTCTACAAGCAAAAAAAAGCAAGAAAAAACAGTACGCAAAAGGCAGACGCTTCCCAACAACCGTGACGCCCGGTTCATATCTCTAACAAGTGACGTTATCATCTCCGGCCACACACGCCACCGCAGCCTGCTTTTTTTTTGCCTGTCCTATTTGACCCCTGGTTGCGCAGAGTCGTATGAATAAAGAGGATAATAATAAGAGGGGAAAGAACTTTCGTCGACTAAAAAGGAGTATGTATGCGCAAAAAAGGTCTTGGTCGCCGAAGAAAGCAGTGAAAAGGGGGGTTTGGCGGCAAGTTGAGTGTTGCCTCGAGAAGAGATCTTGTTGCAAAGAAACAGGAGAGCATTTATCAGACTCTGTAAAGTACTGACAGCGCTCTAAACTTTTCGGGCTCGCTTCGCGCTGTCATGGACAGGGCTGACGAAAGTGACGTGCTTGTTCTCATCTTTCTTGAGACGCATCGCAGTGCCGGAGCCGACTCCGCTAGACTCCCGGTGATGACCAAGGGGCCGTCCTTCGTGATCCTCATCAAGTGTGATCTCAGCAACGTCGGACACCGACTCGGCGTCCATGCGATCGCTCACACCTGATTCAGACGACCCATCGTCGGAGTCATCATATTCGCCATCGTCACTGACAAGTGAAGGTGCATTGTTGCTGACCATTGTGCTAGGGCTGAGGTCAACGTCCTCCATGTCGACATCATCACCAGAGTGAATCAAGACCCTGGTGGGTCCATCGTCCTTCTCGGGACTGCTCATAGGCGGCGAAGCGAAGCCTGTGGGAGGTGACCTCCCCTTGCTGCTTGTTGGTCTCGTTGACGATGTCAGAGTGACGGGTGATATTGGTGCCCTCGCAGGCATGCGCATGGCAGGCATACGAGGAGCCGTTCCAGCATTGCTCTTCGGGCTGCCGAGACCAGTCTCGGTGTCTTCAGATTCCTCTCCCGGCGAGGTGAGGTCTTCCAGCGACATCTTCTCCTTGGCGTCACTGACAATGTCACTGAGGTTGCCGGTGAAGTTTCTGCTCTGCATGAGTCGCGAAAGGAAGGGGGTGTCAGCCGAGGCGACGAAGTTTGCAGCCTTTGGTGCAGCGGACCTCGGAGGCTCTGCCTTTGAAGGACCTTGAGGGATGCCTGTAACGCCAGGCAGCTTGCCATCACGATACAACTTGAGGGAATCTGCGATCCTAGAACGCAAGGCAACGTACGCCTGTTGGGTGGACATGTCGGTCTGAGCAAAGGGATGGACGAGACCAGACGCGATGGCGGTTGAGGGAGGAGGAGGGGCAGCCTTTTCCTCTCCAACAATACTGCCGCCTTCATTAACCTCAATGGGGTGACCGCAATGAACGGCCGCCTCTTCGTGGCTCTTGAAGTCTCGCCTATGGGCGATGCGGCAGTGGTTGATGAAGCCCTGAGTGCTGCTGAAGTTCTCCCGGTTGCAATCCAGGCAGACGAGCTTCACAGTCTGGCCATCGGAGCGCTTGAGAACACAAGGTCCGGCCTTCTCCTTCGGTTGAGGGTAACCACTGGAGAGAGACTGCAGCTTCTGGCTACCAATACCCCGAGTCGAGCGGTTCTTGTTTGCGCTGGCGAGATCAGACATGCTGTTCCTTGTCGTTCGTCCCTCAACTGAGCTTCTGCTACGGGCAGTCTCGAGCACAGGGTACCACTCAGGTTGCATGCCATCAAACTTGGGATCGGGAATGAGCCACTTGGCATAGTGTCGAGCGTAAGGCCCATCGACAACTCCAAAAGGCGCAGCCCATTGGGGAGCAGGCTCTCCCGGACGAGTTTGCAGAGCTGGGCCCTTTCCGTTGCTGATATCAACCATCTGCGCAGGGGTGGGACAGGCAGTGGGATACGGAATGAGATGGCAGCGACGGAGTTGCTCGAGAGCGACCTGACATTTCGCCAGTTCTTGGTTGATTAGCCTCAGCTCGTTGTGTTTGAGCAAGATCTCAAGACCAAATTGATACTGGATAGCGTCGCGCGCGTCCTCCATGTCGTTAGTCACTGCTGGAACAGCAGCAGGCACAGGCACAGGCAAAGATGCGGATGCTGGTGCGTCAGAGACGACACTGGAAGGAATGTCAGAGACGGTGAGATTGGTGCCCTCCAGCTTGGCCCGCTTCAAGGGCTGCTCAGTGGCGGTGAGTGCATCTGGTGAAGGTGAGTCGTCAACGCTTGACAGACGCCTCTTTTGAGGGCACGATGGGCCCGCCAGTGATGCCGTTTGCGCAGGTTGCGGCAGAATGAACTGATGCTTTTGCGCGAATGAAGGCATGGGTTGAATGTGACTGATGGTCGTTTCGCTTCCCCGCTCGCTGCTCCAGAGTGATCGGAACATAAGCGCGGTTCACTGGGAGCAGTGAAGGTGATGGGATGAAAGGTCGCGTTGAGGGCGGCCTGACGACTCTATGCGGACGTGGGATGAGGCGCAAGGCAACAGCCTGACGAAGGTGCAAGGTGGCAGTGGCGGACGGACCAGGCACCTGCAGCGTGCGACGTGGTGCTGATGCAGGCAGAGGAGCCGAAAAGCTGAGGTGCGTGCAATGAGCTTCGAGCTGGCGACGGGGGGCTGACGTAAACAGTGGATTCCCCAGACAGACAAGTCGGGTGTAAGCGTGTGGCTGCTCTGGGCGTGGGCGAAGACGAGGCGACGGGTGTGCGGTGCGTTGGTTGGACTTGGATGATGGGGCCCGAAAAGGGGTGGCAGGGGGGGGCGAGTGGTGCGTGATGATGTGGTCGGGCGTCCGCTCAGGAAGGCCAGAGGCAAGAGAGAGAGAGAGAGCCGGAGACCGAAGCAGGCGAGTCGGCGACAAAAGGATGGGATTGGGACGGTCGCGCAGCGAAGACAGCGACGCAGAATAGTCGAGAACTAACGAAAGCCTCGATATCGCGCAAGAAAATGGTGCGAGAATGAATGCGCGAAGAGAGTTGGGCGAGCAAAATAAAAGAAGCGACGCCGATGATGGTTCTCTGTGTCGTGTGGACGAGTGGTTTTGGAGCGGTTTTGGAGCGGTTTTGGGGGGAGAAAGAGGTTGTTTGTGAGGAGGTTGAAATGTTGGAGATGGGGATGACAGCGGAAAGAGCGAGAATAACTGTCAGAGGTCGGGGAAGGAGGCAGCTTCAGACCTCTCAGGCGGGCGACGTGCGTGAGCTTGGTGGGAAATTGGCCTCTGGGGTGGTGATTGCGAGTGCGGGTGGGCCTTGGACCCTGGGGGCCAGAGAGAGAAAGGTATCCGTACGGTAAATAGGTACCTAGCAAAAGCAGCCGGGCAGCGAAAAGGTGCCGGTAGATTGTGTAAAAGGGGATGGGCCGTGAATTAGGCGAATTGGAAGTGTTCCTCTGCAGGTGGTTCTGTTGCTCGTTCGCTGATTGTTGATGGCGCAGCGGCGGTGCGGTAAAGGTATCCGTACGCGGCGGTGCAAGCAAGCAGTAGGTAGCAGTATCCGTAGCAGCAATAGTGACAACAAGAGACTGACTGGACTGAGTGAGAATGGTGGACGGGGCGAGGTGGATGCACAGTTGGCAAGCTGAAGTGGATTGTTTTGGCGCTTTGCGCTTGTGCTTTGTTGGTGTTGGAACTTGGCGATGATGCGAGGGACCCGACTGACTAGGAAAAGGCAATTTGTGTATTGAATGCAAGGGGGGGAGGCATAAAATGGGGGTGTGGAAGGAACGAGGGATGGGTGTGAGGTACGTACGAGGTGTGTGGGTGGTGTGGATGAGGATTGTGCTCCGAAACGCGATGCTGATTGGTTTGTTTTCTAAAAAGAAAGAGGGAACGAGGGAATGCGCTTGTTTGGTGAGTTTGGTGACTGGCTGGTCAGACCCAAGGTGTGGGGGCAACTGAAGAGGAAGGAACAGACAGACAACCGGCTGCCAGGGAAGGGACAAGAAAAAAAGAATGGAAGGCGAAGGGAACCTCAAGGAAGGAGGTGTACAGATGCAGGGATGTTGTGCAATACGACGGGGAGACTGAGCAGGGAAGGAACGGCGGTGCCCTTTCCCTACCTTACCTTGGGTCTGCTTCAAGGTTCCTTCCTCACCCAAGACTTAGTACAAAGTACCTTTCTGAGGTGGTGTTGTGTGCGCTGTGGTAAGACTCAGGAGAGCAAGACCCAATCTTCGACACCTAATCGACACTCGGACGGTTCGACCGTCAGAAAGGGATGCAGCAAGAGTCAGTCCTACTGTTCTACAAAGTAGTATTCTCTCACGTCTCTCTGTCAGCCTGACTCCTGAGATGTGTGTGCCAGATGCAAGTCCTGACGCAGATGATAATAAAAAACGGGCGACCAACAATAGACAGCGGCAGGAGCAGCGGCAGCGGCAGCGGCATGCGCACTGAACTCCAAAGCTGTCAAAGAAAACGAGGACAGACTGGTTAGAGAACGATGCGCTCAGAGGATAATGCTGTCCGAGTCCCTGATAATACTTGAGAGATGGGACGTCAGTTCCTTCCAAGTCCCCGTCTGTGTCTGCGTTTGGCCTCGTCTTCCACATTTTTTCTTCCAGAACCCAGAGGATTCAGCCAGCGTGCCAACTCCCGTATTCTGTATGGCCGATGGAAATCTGATGGGACGATGAGACGGACGGGGGGCCCTTCCGAACTTCTGTCTCTTACAACCCGTAGGCAGTAGCCGGGTTCTTTCTGGCGACGCTGCAATGCGTGTTTCGCCCGCCCCGAAAATAGAACGGGATTGATAAAGGTGGACGCGTCCAACTGGCAACGACAGCACTTCGTACATACTGCCGGGTAAACAAGGTAAGGGCACAGCAGCAGCTATTGTGGAGGTTCATTAAAGGGATCCCCCTTTTTCGCGATAATCAAGAGTCTGACAGGCGGTATAACTTATTACTGGGGACAGGACAATCAAGAGGGTGAAGGTGTTGCCGATGCAACTTCGTATGGGAAGCGCAGTCTCAGGGCTGTCTATCATCACTGGCCGGTCGCTATCTATCTGGCCCAGGATCCAAATTACACGTCTCTCTTGCCGATCCAACTGATTATCGTGTTTTGTTTGTAAAGGTTTCGACATGTGTCTTATCCAGCCCGCCTGCAGATGGATCCAGTAGGTACTCCGTACGATACGGCACTATGGATAGGTACTTCGTGCATGGGCTAAGGTTCCTTAGTGAGGAGAAGAAGACGGGGAAAGCTCATGGCGTGTGTCCCGACTTGTTTTGGTTCCGTGCGAGAAACGCCTCAGCCATGTACCTTGGGGCATGAGACGGCCGCTGCACGAGCTAAAAGTACCTGGAGGCGTGGGAATGTTCTTTACTCCACCAAGACTTCGGGTTCGGGCCTCTTTTTCTTTCCCTCCCACTGCGCCAACCGCTGTTTGTCGGATGCCTCCCCATACCAACATGCCTTTCTCTGGCCGACAAGTTCCTCAACCACGGCGCGGGGTTGGACATGATCTCGGAAGGCCAGAGTGTGCCTGCAATGTTTGTTGACGAACGGGAAGAGCAACTCAAAGTATGGCGCCGCCTGTGACTGTTCAAATGAGTCAACTTCCGCCCCTCACTCTTTGTTGAATGCAAACATTCGGCGACGCATCTCATTTGTTCACCATCGTCGTTGTCGAGCACGCCGCCGCGCTCTCTTCCCCACGTACCTGACAGCAGTCTCGGATCTCATTCGTCTGGATCGTAGCTTCGCCATTCCGGCTGGCCTAAGAAGCTGCGCCTAGCGTCCACGAAGACGACGACTCCATTACGCCCCTTTCCAAATAGCATCGTGGATGAGGACTAGACTTTTATCAAGCCGCCCACAACGTGAAGCCGCGGGCGAGACCGCAACAACACAACGTGGGATGACAAGAGGAAATGCACCCTGAGAAGCAAGGGAACGCCTTGCGCCCGTGTATCGCCTCTTCTCTCGTCCCGCTTTCCTTCTTGTCTTCTTTCTGTCGCCCCATCATAGAACCCTTCACGCATCATCGAAGCACCTTGATTGCTCGTCGTCTTCTGAAGCCTCACATCCATGCATCTTCTAGAGCCCTACTCTGTGGCCTCGACGACGGCCGGCGTGCCGGCTTCGCACGAGGATGGAGGGATGAGTGTGTGCGACATGCAGATAGACATGGATCGCCGCTCAAAATACGCCACGCCACCCGGCGTTGCCCAGCTCGCCTTTAGCCCGTTCTGGCTTCAGATACCTGAGCATCGCTAGCGAGGTACCAGACAAGCCAGGATCTCCAGAATTTCACCAGCAATATTGCAACTGAGGAGCTGGAATAAGCCAATGAATCAGCGCTCTCTTGCGACGATACCCAGCGGTAACGATGCCGAGTCGCCCCGACTCAGCGTCCAAGGTCAGAACCGCATAAGTTCCTCTTTAACCCCGGGCCTCCCTGCCCTTTCACGGCATCTACGACACTTCTCCAGGCCTTATCCCGGGATTCCGAAGAGGGCTCCCTGGCGAAATGGATTAATACCACAGTTACCACTGCAGGTCGTGCAGGTCGGCCAGAACGCTACCACGCTGCACCTCGGAAGCTTGGAAATCTTGGGGAGAACTTTCGCAGACCACTTTGGGAGCTGCTAGATGACGAAATGTCGCAAACCTCATGATTCAGTAAACCTACGAACCTTTCAGGCTCGACCTTCCATCCAAGGTGCCAAGCAAGCTTTCTGCAGTCCGCCGGCATCTGACTGAAGATAGTCCAGGTGGGCATGTCCTGATCATTCTGATAGTCGCTTTGTTCAGGCCTACGAGAGACTGCAACCAGAACAGGGCGCAACATGGCGCACTGCCATTCATCGAATCAAAAGAATGGCGTCCTCGCAGAGGAGCCGGACGAGTCGCACAGGCCACGCCAAACATGTGAAGTCGAGAAGCCACGGAAAGACCATCGGCGCATGGGCGCCCTGTCCAGTGGACCCTTCCATCTTCCGCGGAACGCTAGTCCAGGTCCGGCTTTGCGCGAGAGCTCGTGTCCGACCATCGCGAGGAAACGTCGCTGCTTTAAGTATTGCGAATGCCCAACGCTTAGTCATAAAAGTATGTCAGATCCATCTCGAAAGCACGTTGCCCTGCTTCCAAAGTTCCGAGGCTTGAGAGGTCGTCGTGAGACTTTGGAATGGCTCCTGATGAGCACTTGGCGAAAAGTCGAGCATCAAAGAAGTCATCCAATCAGAGGAAGCTACGGGTCCTGCTGCTAAGGTATCTTAACGTCGCAGCTTTGCGCCGGCTCTCGGCTCCGAAGGATGGTCCAAGCGTCTAATCCGATAAGATTGTAGAGATCCAAACCACACTTTTTTATCGGGTGAAATCTTAACGCTTGTCTTGGAGCTTCAATTTCAACCCCAGACTCAAACCCCGCGTGGCGCATCACACACCTCAAGTCATTGAGCCGCTGCGTCTGGCTATGGTTCGAGGCCTCATCAAGGCTGACCATGGCTGAACCCTCCGTAATGCAGCCCAAGGGCGACAACAAGAAGCGAAAGTCATCGACGGCAGAAGTAGTCGAGTTGTCCGCCGCCGCCGCCGTCTCAAAGAAAAAGAGCAAAACAATCAAGACGACGCCGACAACAAGCGCAAGCGCAAGCTCGAGCGCAAGTGTCAACGGCCCGACGACCCCTCTACCCCCCTCGCACGAAGCCCTCCTCGCGGACCTCAGATCGAAATACGACGTCCTCCCCGCCTTCACCATCTCCTCGACAAAGATCCAAAAGCGCGTAACCTGGCTGTTGCAGCACCTGCGCAAAGACGACGGCGATCCGAGGAAGCGCGCCGTGCTCGTCTACGCGCGGCCGGGGGAGGTCGCCAAGATGATTTCGATTGTGGAAACTGTGAAGCGCATCGTGGCGGCGGCGGCGGCGGAGAAGAGCGTGGATGAGAAGGAGGAAGAGAGCGGCAAGTGGTATCAATACAACCTCATGTACGAGCTGCCGCCAAAACCTGACGTCGTGGAAGAGACGGTTCTGGGCGGCGGAACACGGGATGGTTCGGACGAGGAAGACGATTTCGAGTTCATGGGAAGCCGCTTCGAGAGAGCCGTGCTGCCGCAGCCTGTCAAGCGCGCGGCCAAGTCGCTGAGCATCTTCCTTTCGTTGGCGCCCATGCCGGAACTCAAGGCTCGAGACGGGATCACGACGCAGACGAACGCGGCGCCGGGCGCAAAGGCGAGCTCGACGGCGCTCTGAAGTTAAGAACTTGCGACGGGGGTCGCTTGAGGACGGAGGAGTTGGATCCGAAGGCAGAAGCAGAAAGAGAAAATAAACAAGAGGCTCTCGAGGAAGGGAGTTGCGAGATGTCGCTGGTAACGCAACCAACAACGATACGGCGGGGCTTTTCAGTACATTGCATCAAGAGGCGTTCATAGGAAAGGGTGGGCTACCATTTGATACCCAAAACGGGCGGGGCAAGGTCGATATCAAAAGCTTTCGACATGGGATGAATAGACAGCATCGGGAAGAGTCTTAGAACCAACAAGGCACCCAGTTCTCCATATGCTCAGAACATGCATGTGAAACGTATCCATCTGGTGATGACATATTAGTGAAAAACTTCCGTAGAAAGTGCGCAGCGTAGATGTGTTTTCGGTATGTTTCCGACGCCTATTCCGATGCATTCGCTTTTCCTATCAACTATACACCTTCAACATCCGCTTTCTGTTCGCGTACGCCTAAGCTAAACATAAGAAAACTGCCAAATTATAAAACCATGCAAACCTGTTCTCAAGACAGAAAATCCTCCGCTTCCAACTCTCAATTCTTCCTCGTATACACACACACAACTTTGTCGTGGCTTGAGCATTTTAGCAAAAAGGCCACCTCCCCGGGTTCGCTAGGCTCAAACTGTCAACGCCTAGGTATACCTCCCGTTTTTCGCCCCTCCTTCCTCCCAACTTTGTCCTCAGACTTCCGAACAGGCACCAGGAGTAGAGTGCAAGATGCAATCATACTTTTTAGTGCTTTCCCTCCTTGGACGAGTACGTTATGCGCAGGACAAAGTTGACGACGACGGCCAGCAGCAGGATGATGGCCAAGAAGGTGGGGCCGAAGCGGTCGTCGAAGCCGGCCTGGCCGCGGACGCGGATGGATTTCGCGCGCCAGTGATACGTAGCCAGGGCGTAGATCATGGTGAGCATGGCGACGCCGGTGAAGAGGAAGGCGCTGATGAAGGCCGGGCGGTCGCCAAAGTTGAGCATGCCGATGGCGAGGGCACCGAGGATGACGGTGAAGTTGAGCCAGGAGAGAAATGTGCGCTCGTTGGCGAAGAAGACCTTGGGTTCGACCCGCGTAGGGAGAGCGATGCGCTTGCCTGGTTGTGTTTGACTTCGTTAGTGACCTCTCTCTGTCTTGATCTGATGCTTGCTCGGGGGTGGACGGTGGCATAGTTGCACGTACCCGGAGCGGTCTGGAGAAGAGGTTGGCTAGACATGGTGAGTTTCTGTGTCTGACTGGACTGTCTCGAGGGTAGGTATCGTGGTTTGCGGTCGTGGGTTTCTGTATCGCAACTTGATTAGGTTCAGTCGACCGTACTTTCGTTGTCTCGCGCGGATGCCCGTTTCCTCCTCTTGTTCTGCGTGTCTCAACAGCGATGCCTAGAATCCCTCAGGAGAATGGCAATGCGACGTTGGAGGATTCCAATTGAGGCGTCGTTGGAGAGCTCGGGCTCGCGTCGGGCTAGTCGTCGGAATCGCAACGGGGTTTATCGTGACAAGGGGACGGCAAGTGGAAGCGAGTCGCGCGATATCAACTGCTTACTCTTCTACAGTCTCGTTTTCTGGTCTGAACAATTGGTAAAAACTCTATCAGGGATATCAACAAAAATAATGCGGAGATGGAGGTGAGGGAGATGGAGAGAAAAGAGAGGAGGAGAAGAGAGAACGAGAGAATCTGTAACCGAGAGAACCCGCTTGAAAGCTTGTTCAGATACGACCACAGACAATGCACCTGTACTGCGGCCGACCAGCCCCTCAAAAGCCGCTTCCTTGAGAAAAAAGCTCCATCGTAGGCCAGACTTGTGACGCTAGGCCTGCACGGCGTGCATGGCTAGAGCTCCCTCCCCACCAGCCACAGTCGAGATCCATGTCAATTGCCTGCGAACTTCTGCAGCAAGGTACACGTGCAATTCAATCGCATTGTGATTGGGGAAGCCACACTTGGAGAGGTCAAGCCTCAGTACCTTTGGTAAGGTATCTCAGTACGGAGTAGGGACCATGCAGATGACAGAAGCTGTGGCTGGAGTGAGACATCAGCTAGAGCCACGTGATCTCTCGTTGCCCCGCGCACCTGGCTGTAGCACGGCCCGCCGATGCAACGCGAGGCGGCCGAATCGGGCTGGCATCACAACACCGGTAACTTTTTGTGGAGGAGCCTCATCTCTGTCGTCTTGTCCCGATCTGTCAACACAACCTCTTCACCACTTGCATACAATCGAGATATTCGCACAATCGCTCTAGAACACTCCCACACCTCCTACGCCCAGGCAACCTCATATACAACGAAACTAGCAAGCGCATCAAGCCTTGGAACAATACAACACCTCTCTCTCTCCTTTCCCCAAACAAAACATCCGATCACAATGTCTGCTCCCGCCGCCCCTACGACAGCGACTCCCGTATGTCGACTTCCCCCACGCTAAGATCTCAATGGACCGCCTACTGACTCGATCTTGACAGCCCGTCGCCTTCAACCGCCTTAAGCAGATTGCTACGGATGTAAGCTGCCCATGCGACACCGTCCACAACGTCGCCAAAACATTAGGAAACAGCCCGCTGACCCAGCCTCGTTGACAGGCTTGCCAATCAGCCATCGGCTCTGCTGAGTTCTACGATCACGCTAAGACCGAGACATGGAACTCTCAGATCATTGTATGTTCTCTCTCCCCCCTCAACATCAACCCCGCCCCCAGAGATCCAAGGACTAACCATCGCGAACCTCGTCAGTCCTCCGTCCTGAAGGCCGTCATCTCTGAGTCGACACCCCAAGGCGGCTCCGCACCCGCATACAAGTTCGCCTGCAACTCGACCATCGTCCAGCACCTCGTCCCGACATCCTCTCTCAACAAGTCCAAGGGCACCTCCGTCAAGGAGGAGGAGCCCTCCGTCTCCACGAGCGCCGATGCGACCGCCACCGACGGCAAGCCCCACGTCGGCCGCCGCGGCATGCACTCCGCCACCGGTGCCTACTGGGACGAGAAGAAGGACGGCATGTGGTCCTACAAGTACGACGGCGGCGAGGGCAAGGGCATGGACGTCGTGATCATGCTCATCTGGGTCGCCATCTAAGCGATGATGGATGTAAGGCTCAGTGCTCGAGGATAGAAACAGTGGGAGGACACTCGAACCCAGCGTGCTGAGGTTTGCATCCCCTCTTGTCCTCGTGTGCTTCTCCAAAACGACAAACGACATGGGCCCATTCGCAAGAATCAGAGCCTGATTGGAAGCTGGGTCAGCGCATGGAAGGCCCAGAAATGGGGCATAATGAAAGCGGCCTGGCGACCAGGACGCAGGACATCATACCCTGGATGAGGAGGAAGTTCACTCTCTTGGGTTTGAACCTCGCCAGGTCAAGCAGGCATATACGGCGAATGGGTTTGCGCAAGGTCTATTGATGTGTTTGAGTTGCTTTTGTCCCCAAACCATCAAAAATAGCCGGAGTTCTTTTTTTTCTGATGAGAATACATGCAATACCACAAAACTCGCGCCCCAGGCTTGTAACAAATGACAATGGCCTTGTTTATTTATTTGTTGAGTCGTTGTTAGGTGGTACGGCACTGCATTGCACGACTCGAGGTAGCATCCTTGCAATTGGAGATGTCATTGTTATGCATCTCTTAGCTTTTGCCTAGAGTCTATAAGATCCGAGCCATGCCAATATTGCAGTTAATAGTATGGTGTGTGGCAGGCTACTCGGGTACAGCTACCTACTACATAAGAACACCAAACCCGTGGAACCTGACAGCCCGTGAATATGTCACGATAGCATACAGCCAAGAAGGTCTATCGCCAAAATGAATCGCTGACGTCTACTGCGAGTTAAGCTATCATACGGCATCTACACATAGGCGGCAAAGTTGGCCATGGAACTGGAGCTACGGATTCGGTCAATCACTAACAGTAGCCCGTACGGTAGAAAAGACACTGGTTTCCCTTCTTGATGGCATACTGCTCAGGCGGCGGCAAGGTCTAGGTTCTCTCACCCACTAGAGAGAGAAAAGGCACTGGACCCTGGTGATCTTTTTCTTTTTTTCCAACGATGCATCCACCTACACTAGCATCCGAACCTGCTTGCCAATCCGGCGACGTTGACGAACGAGCTTCAAATACTTTTCTCTCTCAACTTTTTTTCGCCCGCCTTTCGGGGTGAGCGTTCGCAGAGTTTTTGGTGCCATGGCAAACACCGACAAGTCTGGGCCAGGCACTTTCTAAGGAAAAGCTTGTTGTCAACGAAAAAGGTTGCAGAATGAAAAGAAGAAGAAGAATGAAGATAAAAAGTTTGAAGGTTACACAAGCACGCGAGTCGGGAATACCACTCGGAAATTGTTGGGACGGACAGGTCCTTTGAAAAGACGTTGTCGTACACCCTCTTCGGCGAGAACGAGCTTGCGCCGGTAGCGGAGATGGTTTTATATCACGAGGAAGCTGTCAGGGTTGGGTGTGATTGAAGTATCTGGTCCTGTCTCAATAGATATGTAGGTACCTTGGAGATAGATTCCTTGGTTATATCACAGGAGCTGCCCGGCCGTGTCGCTGTGACTTGCCTTGACATACGCAAGTAGGGATGCGGCGTAGTTTTCAATTTCATCATTTCATGACGCGGTTTGAGCTTTCGCAGGAACACTCGCGGCTGCTGGAATCGGTAGGGAGCGGCCAGAGATCAGATCATGCCCGTCTGACAGCTCTGCAATGAGGTTCTTGGATGACGGCTCACAACGTAAGCCGGCTGCCCTGGCCTGATCGGTGAGCGCCGACGGCGGGAGCGGGCGCGGGAGGGGACCGTGGGGGGCGGAGGATTTGTAGTAACGTCACTACAATATCGGATTCATGAGCAGGAGGGTATCTCTGATTATTTCTTAATTCTGATTAGGCAGACTCTGGCGAGTTCTCTTCTCTTTTTGTATTCCTTCTCAGTCTTGTTAGTCGTTCCGTTTATCTTGGGCCCTTCGAAGGGAACGATGGCATTTTGACATGTACATGTAAGATTACTGCCTCTCCGAATGATATGTCATGCGTCGGGATACCCTTTCAAGACATTCCCCAGAGGCTCGGTTTTCCCCAGTGGCCCATTGGAGAGAAGCCGGGGGAATCAGATAAAGTGATCAGTGAGCATTGAGACGCGGAGACAATCAGGAGATGAATGGCCGGCCAGTACTGCGCACGCATGAAGTTCGAAGTCCCTTTACGCTGCAATCATCAACCATTTCGCCACCGCTCTTTTGCTCAACTCCACAAATCTTGGGGGACACCTGCGGGTGGTGCAGCGAATGCAGCAGCCATGACGACGTCGATCCCTGAGAGGGACGGGATGCCCTGCTTTTGGCTTCTCTTCCTTTCTCAATGGCGGTCTGGCTGAGTAGGATTGATGCAACAACGGCCGAGTCTAGAAAGACTCAAGAAGGCATATACCTACGGATACGGATGCATAGATAGAGACGGGCAGACGGGCGAGCTAGCATGGCAAGCAGGCGTGTGCTCACTGTCCTGATCTGATAGATCACAGACTACTGTACGAGTGCCGTGCGATTGGCAGTGTAACAACAGCCTCACTCGGCCGATGCTGGATGGTCATGGGGCCATTGATTCCCGTTGTGCAGGCTGCCGGTGTGTTGCAGCGGGAGCGGTAGCCTTGCTGGCCATGCGAAGGGAGCTTCTTGGCGGCTGTAGAAAGATCATGATCCAAAGGTCAGTTGGCCTGGGAGATTCATCATTCTCGACTGATGGACACCATTCGCCATGATAATCTCGCATGGGTTAAAGTGTGAACGAGGCATCAGTCAACGACTTATATCACTGATTCGGGAGTGCAAAAGTCCCTTCAGGCGAGTAGCCTTACCCGTTGGGTTGGGCGGCCGCTGGTTGTAACTTTTCAAAGTGTGCCTTGAGGTAGTTGGTCGGTTCCTATGTGTGCTCTCAACGTCTGGCCAATTCCAGAATCCTCGAGGACTGGAACACGACCTATCAACGAGTAGCGTCCTGCGCCAACCCTCGTGCCCTCGTCGTTGTTCCCTTGGATGCGTCATGCTTGGAGGCTCTGGTTGGTCAATCAAGACCAAGACACGGAAGCGCCAAGCGGGGAGAAACGAGGGGTGATGGAGGGTCGTTGTCAGTTGTTCTGTTAGATTCATGAGTACGGATTGGATGTAGGCAGAAGGTGAGGTGATTCGCAACACTTTCTCGCTTTTCCGAGCTGCCGAGCGTTGTGTCTGTCGGAAGTGACGACGGTGGAACGTTCTACCTTAGATGCCTTCCTCCTTCAGTCAGTGGCTTCCTGGTCTGCGGCACCCTGAACCGCGCTACTCTTGCCTTATGACGAAAGTAGCCGGGCTCAGGTACCGGGTACTTTGGGTGTTGCGCTTGCAAGAGACCGTTGCGTACTGCGTTAGCAGGCAAAGACCCCTTTACGCCCTCCTCTTTCAGGCTTTCAGCTGGGGGTTGGCTTTCGGTCCGTTCAGTTGATCTCCAGTGTTTTCTGTTTGAAATCTGCGAGATATCCCAGATTACCTCTTAGTTTCTGTGGTCCTCAAAGAGTTGCTGGAAGCGAGATGGACGAGTTCCATGGCATTTTCATGATTCGCGCGAGGATACCAATGACCGAATTTCCCCGTTTTTGTTTCTGCCATGTTCCCTCCCGGCACCAATAGGAAGTCATCGAGGACAATAAACGTACAGACGAACGAGACCAAGGGACCAGCAACCCCTCCTAGCGTTCCTACGTCCCATCCATCGCACTATCCGCTAGGTTATCAGGGGAGACACTGGCTCTGACTGGACAGAGAAAAGGCGCTGAGCCGGGAGAATCGTAGACAGCTGGAGGTGCGTGACTTGGCCACCATGGCGTATGGCTCTCCAATCCATGCATAGCGTACACTGGAGTGTAACAAGGACCCCCAAAATATCAGCCCGCTAATCTGGCCTGCCATCGGCCGACATATCCTCCTCCTTTGGAGCTTGTACCTGCGACTTAGTTGGCTCCGTCGGTCTGGACGTCGCGACGGCCAAACATCGCCTTTCCCGTCCGGTGCTGGCTCCATCACACCACTTACCTTACGCACAGCACACACCCTGAGACCCTTTTTCCCCTTCTTCCTTGTCTTTTCCCGTCTCTTCTCTTCCTCTTCCAAAAGAGAAGCACTTCGACTGATCTGCACTAGACACTACCTCATCGGGGTCCTGTCACTTCTTTTTCTTGCCGTTGACGTACCCTTATATATCTAATGAACTCCTCCCCTGGGCCCTTGATCAAAGACCCTATTCTCGCCTCATGAACTTGCTATTGAGGCATTCCCACTCGCAACAACAACTACCGCCATCCAACATTGGCCCTCCCAGCCACAATATTGCTATTACCTGAAAACACAGTATACTCACTCGACTCGCAACCCACAAGTGAGCCGAAGACTATTGATCCTCCCTCCTCTCAGCCTGAATACGACGAGACAACTACTACCCTCCTCATCGACGACGTCGTTTCCCCTCACCACTGATAGGTGATCCTCTACCGCATCAACGGAAACGAAACCCCATCCATCTCACGAGACACCAAGCTTTCAACTTGGTTGGCCGCCTCTAACCCCGCTCACTTTCATACCACACACATCGTCGGATAATAGCCCAGCTCGGGCCACCGACGACAAAACTCCAAGGACAACACACCGCCGTTACACAAGGGCCCCCTCTTCACGATGGTTGAAGTACTTTCCTCGGGCCTCGCCCAGAATGGTCAACCTCAGCAGTCTCAAGACTCTGCCGACCACGTCGCCTCCGTTGCCCGTCTCTTACTCGCAACCAATCTCGCCTCTCGTCAGGAAAATAAGATGATGACCCGTGAGGAACGTCAGGTTATGATCGATGAGCTCAGCAAGAAGCGCGCCGGCTGGCGCACTCCTCGTCGCGGCTGGTCCATCACCGACTCTCCCGTGGCATCAGCTCAGGGTAGCCCCACGCCCCCAGCCGCGGCCTCTCCGTATCCCGCACCTCCCTCAACCCAGCACGAAGCTGTAGAGAGGCATGCCATTGCCTCTGTTCCAGAGCAATCTGAGCTTCCGATGCAGGATATGAGGAACGCTCCTCAACCGCCTCAGATCCGCCGACCTCCGTTGCCGCCTCCTCGCCGTTCCTACTCAGTCATGGACTACGAGCCGCCGGCGCGCATCCACCGCCCTTCGGCTCGAATGGACATTTTCGACCTCCCCGCGGAGCTTCACTACGCCATCTTCGATCACCTCGACCCCATCGACAGCACCTGCTTCGGCCTAACCAACAGCCACTTTTACGACATCCACCGACGCATGCACGGTCCGGTGCCTCTCACGTCCCGGCGCAACGGGCCCAACGACCTGGAATGGGCATGGCGCTTCGCCGGTCCCCTCATCTACCATGACTCCGCCGCGCCTCCTCCAGAGGCTTTCAAGGAGCACGCTCACGACCTCGAGCGCATGCGCGTCAAGGGTCAAGTGTACTGCCGGAAATGTGGAATCTCCCGCTGCGAGCTGCATCGCCATCTCAAAGAATGGATGGGCCCCAACCTGGAGTACTGCACCGTCACCCAAAAGTACGGCCCTCTGCCTTCTGGGGAAGCCACAGACACTTGCTATATCAAGTCCCCCAAGAACCCGCACCGCTGTGGTCGACATGCCGCCAAGCCCGTCGAGTCACACAACCGAGAGGCGCATCTGAACTAGCTTACAAACTTTCATTTTCTTCTATAAGCATTGCGATTGGGATTTTGTATGATTACAGTACGCTGCGACACCTACTGGTCCGCTTGGTTGTACGACACGGAGTTGAGACAGCAAAACAAAGGGAAGCATCGGGCGAGAGGGTTATTTGTATCATTAGACGAGAAAGGCGTTGGATATCCGGTCAAACGACAAGTGAAAGAGGAGGAACAGAGACGAGATACACAGCGCCATCTAGCTTGACATTACCATCTTCGAAGCATGGATAGATGAGAAAGACAGCATAGCGAGAGTTGAGGCACAGTTGCACATGGGCATTGACTGCAGCTGCGCTTGAGACTGCAGCTAGAAAGATGAGACAACGAGAAACACATTTACATCATGAATTCATCCATATTCCTATCAGTCCGATACTCGATGGATCAACTTTGACACGAATAGCTTCACTACTCACGTTTCCACTCCTGAAGTGCCACGTGAGTGCGTACCTAAACGTCGTCAAGACTCAAATCGAGAGTAGAGGGTCAAGATTTGAGTTGCGTCGAACCCACTGGAATGACGTAATGTTCGATGCGGATAGATTGTGGACCCTGAATTAGGCCATCCCGTGTAATGCCGAAGGAAGGGATCCGTATCTGTGCAGATGGACAGCGTCATTCTTGATGGACTTCGGGCAGCGGCCGAAGAAAGGGAACTGAGTCGCGTGCTTCGAGATGGTGGGTGTGGTTTTAATTAAAAGTGATTGGACAATGGGATAATGTCTATCTGTTGGCATCTGATAAGGAGGAGCCTCTGTTTTGAGATGCACTTTAAAAGTCCATAAGAGATGCGCACTTCCATCTCTTTAAACGGCCATTGATGAGTCGGCGAGAGCTACATATTTTGTAGATGCCCGCAGTCGTACTAGATCAAGGACTATAAGAGCTGAGGTTTTCGGTCTTGTCAAATATTGAAAAGTTTGTTTTTCTGTTCTATTAATATCGATCGCGTAGAGCAAGGAAGAGGTTTCATGCCTTGTAATCTCATGAAGCATGCCGTCGATATGAAGGAAAGAGAAGAAACCATCGTCTCAATCAGTTTTATAATTCATGGAAGAGCCGGATACTATCTCATTCGTTGAGAGAGGTTGGCTGGTTTCGCCGTTGAAGCAGAACCATTTCAAATAAGATAGATGGAGATGGAAAGTGCCAGAGATGCTGATAACGCCAACATACTTTCAGGAACCAACGACACATGGCCGATGGAGAACAAGGCTTGAGATCTCATTAAGACATGGCTTGATCTCCATCGACCATGACAATCATTATATGATTCTTTCGATATGTTATGGAGTACAACGGCTCAGCTCAGTCCCAACTGTCTTGAGGCGTTGGAACGGGGGCCGTGCCAAGCCAGCTCGGTGAACTTGCAGTGATCATTTGCGGACAGCGGGGTCGCAGATCCGTGCCTTTGAACCCAGAAAGTTTCCTCGACCTTTGTTCACCTTGTCAACAACCATGTGACATACAACATCGCCAGACAACTCTGTTCACTTACAGCCCTGTATTATCGATATGAATTGGTTTTCAATTTTCGTCCAGCTAAGGCTCACACCGTCCGGCCTGGCTCAGTTAAAGTGGCTCGGTGCAATCTCCCCCACCAAGCAAAATGTTCCCCACGTCAGTGAACCGGGGTGTCGTCCAGTCTCGCTGCTTCGATGGGAAAGGGGCTCCGGCGCCGCGTATTCTATTTACGAATACTATTCGCACGGCAAAATAGCATCTGACTTGTTCTCGAACGAGGTTTGCGGGTCGATGTTCTTCGAGAACTTCCAGGCGCGCTAACCCTCGATTTCAGAATGGGCTATCAGTTGTGCGAAAGACAACACCAATGACCTGACCCATTCTTCGTGTACTTCAGAGTGCGAGAAAATCTGGGTTGTCGCAATGGCGTGGAGGGCCAACCGTCCGCCGCCCAGCTCGGCCAAGCCATTGCTCAAGGGCGTGCTGGCCGTCTTCATTCTGACTCTTATTTTGACGAGCACCTACATGTACCGCGACACGATCAGCAGCAGCGCTTCCCGGATCAAGTTCACCGACGGCGCCGCGATAGACTACTTCAAATACCCTTTCAACGCCAGCAACGCCGACACGAACCCGATCGACTGGCTGATTCACGACGCGCGAACGAAACAAGCGGCAGTGCTCCAGAAACGAAGTCGCACGCTTCATAATGCGGCGCAACGCTATCGAGAGCGACGGGGCAGACATCCGCCGCCGGGATTCCAGGAATGGTTCCGCAGCGCCATGGACACGGATGCGATTGTCGTAGAAGACTTTTTCGACCGGATCTACGACGACCTCAGGCCGTTTTGGGCCCTCGAGCCCAAGACCATCACGAAGCAAGCCAATGCCGGTGATCATACTGTCAGAGTACGAAATGGTATTGCGGCTGGTCATGGAAACGAGGAAGGAAAGGAACCATGGCTCGAGCTATGGAGGGCTCTGGTGGCTGAGTTCGCGAAACATCTGCCGGACGTGGACATGCCCATCAACTACATGCAAGAGCCTCGAATCTTGGTGCCGCGCAAGGATATGGAGAAATACGTCGCAAAGGAGGAGAAGAAGAGGACCATGCCCACGAAGAACAAGGCCACGAGTGTGTTCCAGAGCTTGGCGGGTGTAGATGCGGCTCAAGGCAACTTTGCTTCTTCTGCGAAATGGACCAGCGGCGACCGGCGCAAATATTGGGATCTCGTTCGAGAGGCCTGCCCCTCGGATGCCCCAGCCAAGAACGTACCCGCGGCGACAGACCTCTCCCTCCCGCCAACCTTGCCATACTCCTGGACGGCGCCCTTTGCTCGCCAAGGCTACGTCCAGAACTTTTCGAGCTCCATGGATCCGTGTGTACAGCCACACCTCCGCTCACTCCACGGGACCTTTGTCGAGCCGCTCAATGTCAATACCACAAAGGACCTGATCCCCCTCTTCGGGGGCTCGAAACTCCGCGTCAACTCGGACATACTCATCCCGGGCGCCATGTACCTCTCCGACGACCCAACTTACACCGGCGGCAACGTCCGCGGCCCCGCGTGGCCAGAGAAGCGCGACCGCCTCGTCTGGCGCGGCGTCGGCTCGGGAGGTCTCGCGCAGTCGGATAACTGGATGCACTTCCACCGCCAGCGCCTGGTGGAGATGCTGAACGGAACCACCGTAAGCGGCATGGAAGCCAACGACGTCCGGGCCATGACCTTTGACATGCCCCCCGTGGAACGCTACAACACCAAGCGCCGCCGCGCAAGGGGGCTCGGCGCGTTCCTATCCCGGTTCGCGGATGCCGGGTTCACGCACCTCCTGTGCGGGCCAAGCGACGACCGGCGCAGGGAGTGCGACTGGCTGGCGCCGCACCTATCCGTCGTCAACGGCACGCCCATGGCAGAGCAGTTTGTGAGCAAGTTCCTGCCCGATGCGGATGGGTATAGCTTCAGCGGGCGGTTCAGGGCGTTTATGCTGTCGACGAGCGTGCCTCTCAAGGCGACGGTGTATGCTGAGTGGCACGACGACCGGCTTACGCCGTGGATGCACTTTGTGCCGCTAGACAATACCTTTCAGGACCTGTACGGCGTCCTCGACTTCTTCACGGATGGCGACGATGACGATGAGTCTCGGGGATGGGGCGTCCACAAGGTACTGGGAAAGAAGAGCAAAGGTGACGACGCGGCGCGATGGATCGCCGAGCAGGGAAAGGAGTGGGGGGACAAGGTGCTCAGGCGCGAGGACATGCGTCTGTATGTCTGGAGACTTTTGCTAGAGTTTGCGAGAGTCTGCGACGAACATAGGGACACGCTTGGTTACGTGGACGACCTACCGTAAAAGGTCTTCTTCTTGTTGTTATTTTTTTCCCTCGTGCTTTCTTGCATGGTTTGCTGTACACGCATACATACACTCTGGGATATACCATGGGAAGTAATCGACGGCGTAGGCGTTCAGGATTAGGGAAAAAAAAAGGAAGTTGGCGGCAACGTTTAGTCTTTGTACGCCAAGGAATAGCTATTGCGTTGAGCCAGAAGTATAAACAAGACCTAATTTTCGTCACCTCCGGCTCATCTCGTAGTCGCAATCCCACGATTCCTTATTGAAGCTTATTCCCCGAGTCCATGACTCTACTTGCTAGAAGCGGGCTCCGGTCTGACGGCCGTCGCCGTCGCTTTCGTCAAGTTGGGATTGCTACATGCCATCTTTTTCAGTTTGCGGGAAGCTTATTCGCAACCATCCCGAATCAGCGAGAAGACGCGGACATGGGGAACTTCCCCCCCTTCCAAACTTTCACCTTTACCCCCGCCGCCGAATGCAGGCGGGAAGGCGCTTGAAGTGTGCACCCACAGGTAAGGTAGCTTCTCCCGGGATCCGATTTCCTTTACTGCGTAGTGCTGAACATGAGCGACGATGGTTCGGCGCAACAGCGGTGGCCGTCGGCCGTCCGTGAATCCACGGAGCCTACGGGAGTATGCCGGGAAGGTTGGATCCAATGGGGTGTAACTTTCCAGTGTGGCCGGCACCTCACCTTGCCTTATTTCCTTGTCTTTTATGGAAAGCATGGAAGAAAATCCGCCGGACCCGCGGGATAGTCGTCTATACAAGCACTCTCACTCATTCACTGCTTCTCATCCGGGTACACAGGAAGGTATATAATTCAGCCTATACGTGCGCCCCTTCGTCTATCTCGACGCTCAGATTACACACCCCGCTAAGTTCTGGCGTAATCAAAAGACTGAGATGCACGTCTGCACACTTCCTCAGTCTCCGGTGCATATCGTCGGCGGGCAGCGTCGGTCAGCTTGGTATCACGGTTTGCCGCGCTGGCGACCGAGTAAGGTCATATCTTCGAGACCCGCGACACCCTTGAAGCAAGGCTTGCCTGTCAGGTCTCTCAAGCGCTCTCAGCGTTCTCAATCGCAGACGGTCAGTACACTGAGTGGTTCCTTCTTTCCTAGCAACGCAATATATCCAGCGACTGACTATCCGACAGATGGCGCGTACATCTCAAGATGGTGGTGATCAGAGATGGAAGAGCTTCGATGTGGACGAAAAGCTGCTCGAGGAGAAGGCGTCCTTGGTGGAGGTATCAGAGTTGGAGGTTAGACCACTACTCGATCCCGACGAAGAGTATACCTCTTCGTCTCCGACAGAGTGTCTCCCACGGAAGCGGTCTCTGAAGACCCGCTTCAGGATTCGGCGTCTTTCGCGGTCGCAGCGCAGTCCTCAAAGCTCGGAGAGCAAGGCTTCGGAGGAGGACTCTCACTCTTCTTCAAGAAACAAGAAGCAGTCGCCCGGTACGCGCAAGTCACAGAGCGAGGACGCCTTCGGAAACCAACGTGGCAGCTCTATGAACAGCATGGCTTACCACATCGCGGTCGGCTTGACATGGAGCATGCCGGCCCCTTTCGATATGATGCCCATAGGATACCCAACGAGATTGTTCTAGGGTTGATGTGCTGTTCGTAACTTGGGAGAGACAATGAGGGCACGCTGGTGTCGAGGCGTTTTGGAGGTTTGGTAACGGCGTTTGGGTAGCTCGACGGACGGGACTTTTGCTTTGTCTTCTACTTTACAATATCCTATTTGAGAAATGAGCTTACTATAAAAGCTGAGACGGCACCATTTGCATAATTGTGCCTTTGAAAGTGCCGTGAATCACGAGATAATTCTAGTTTCCATATGATGTTGAACACCCGTAACCTTCACTAAATGCTGGCAAACTTCTATTGTCAAATCGTTCAAGGCAGGCAGGACCAGCGATAGCTCAGGTATGCCATGAGATGAAGACATGTGACAGCTGAATTTTCAAGTTCTCTAACGAATTAGTTGACTTGAACATTGCACAAAAGTTCACCAGCATGCCTAGCTCTACGTTCAACCAAACCTCAACACAAGCCACCTACTCCACGTAATCCTCTGTTGTGAGAAAAATGAGTGAAAAATAATAATCAAGACTACATATGGGTAGAAGTCTCTGAGTGCGCCTAGCAGGCAAGAATGATTAAGTATGAAGGGATGGCTACTTTAAATTTCTATGAGGTAGGTAAGGTACTAGGTAGGCATTGATCCATCCGGCCGAGCGAATGCTCCAGAGACACGACTCTGATGAAAATCTCAATGGCATCGATAGCGTGCCCAAGCTCATGATCTCCTTGGAAAGCTATGCGGTCCGCGTCGTTTTCAAACAAGTGCTGACCAGACTGGTGTTGTTTCTCGTTTTTCTCATGTTCTTTGATTTCGGCCCACGTCTTTCTATTGTTTACATGTTTCCCAATCCCGGAACTTGTCGCTTTATGGTCCTATTGACTTTCGATACGAACGAGGACCAATTAAGTAAAAGAAGGATAGTGGCGATTATGATGATTAAGGTATGAGGGGTTCATGTGCTGAAGTGGTTCACGCCCTTCCTCGCATCTCAACACACGAGACCGCGGCGTACCTTCGGCTACCGCGCTTTACTTTTTCCTACTGCCTAATTTGCAGAGCAGGTACTCTTAGCGATTATGGATTGCTTGAATATTCTGAAGTTGAGGCGCACGAACTCACTAATGCTAAGTTCTGTGGTGTCATCTAAGCCGTACATATTTCGGACCTACCCGGCATAACTCCTCCGGCTACGTCCAAGGTTTACACACTGAGCGACAGAAAGCCGACTTTGTAAGACCGCAAAACTTCGACGTCAGTATCGGCACTATTCCGTAACATATCCCGACGAATAGAGACATCGGACGCATAGGCCGGAGATGGGCCTACCCGAGTCCAGCTGACATCCAAAGACGGAGATGGTTACGAAGCGGATCGGAGGAACGCGGCTGATAGATAGGTATGCACGATAAGAGAAATTGAGCTGGTCTCGTACAATTAATCTATCTACCTGATACAAAACTTGCTTATCATATCACGAACTGGAAGAAGTACGTCAAAGCTGGCGAAGGCTGGTGCTGTTAGCGAATAGAGGAGGCTGGAGAGGCCGGGAGCGAAGCGCGAGCCGTTAGCCGGCAAAAGCGGGGCAGAGTTGGCTACAACCCGGGTAGGGCCCTGTCACTCTGCTTCGCCGAACCGCCCAACTGTGACGTTTTCCTGCGAGCAATGAATCGAGCAATGGGGAAAAGGCAGGGGAGCGAAGCTCGGAGCTGGATTACCAAGCTTGCTGTTGCCAGATATAGTAAAACCGACCTCAACAGCTTGACAGGACGGACGCTACTACTCAACTGCCTCTAGTATCTCTCACATGCACTCATGTTCATGTGACGGTACCTCAAGGTCAGACTAGGGCCAAAATCCGCTACAGGGACACACGGAGAGAAAGAGAGGTTGTTTGATGCCTTTCAGTCTTTACTTGCATTGTTCATGTTCATCTCTTAGTTCCTTCAATACCTTTACCTTACCTCAACTCAAAATAGTCTCGGCAATAGCAAACCTCGAGAATTAAGTTGAAGCGTGGGGAAAAGAGCTGAATGGCAACGACACCGGCTCCGAACGCAGTGTGTGCCCGACAAAGACCTTAGGCATTTTGGCCGGTGACGATCAAACAATGGCGGCGGTAGAAGAGCCGTCGAATCTCCGCAACCGGCAACAACATGTCGCCTCTGAAGCTGACGCCGAGAGGACCGGGACCTCTTCGTTCCCCGATGCCACCGAGACGACGACGCTGCTCAACTCGGAGACGTCTTCTCGGACCCTCCGCAACGGGTCGCCGGCCGATAGCCGCCAAGACCGGGATTCGGACGACGACAACGACGATGACGGGCCTAAGCAGTCCATCAGCAAGACGCGAGCTGCCGTCTTGATGTTGAGTACCTGGATTCTCATCTTCCTCCAAGGTTCGTCTTAGGACCAACATGTATCACAAGACAAGTACAAAAGGAACTGACTTATGCACCACAGCATCAAACACATCCGGTATGACAATGACGCAGTCCATCGTCGCCGAGGACCTCAACGCCTACTCGCACGCAATGTGGTTCACCAGCTCCTACCTCATCAGCATGGCCTCGCTGGCGCCCCTGTTCGGGCGCCTGGCCACCATCTTCTCGCCCCGCATCCTCGTGCTCTGGCTGGGCGGCTTCTTCGGCCTCGGCGGCGTCGTCACCTCGCAGGCGCCCTCCTTCTGGGTCTTCATCGCCGGCAGAATCCTGACGGGCATGGGAGGCGCGGGCATCATGACGCTGTCCGTCATCCTGGTGCTCGAGCTCGTGGGGAAGAAGAGGAGGGGCGTGTTTGTCGGACTGGTGAATGCAGGCTTCACAATCGGGTTGTCGTTTGGCGCTGTCGTGTACGGCGCACTGTTGCCCGTTATTGGATGGGTTCGTGAAACTTTCTCGTGACCGTCTCGATGAGAAAAAAAAAGGACTGAGAGCTAACATGGGTATACAGAGAGCTCTGTTTGGTGTCCAAACCCCTCTCGGACTCCTCGCCGGCATTGGTGCTTTCTTGAGCATCCCGAATAACTTCAGCTCGGATCACAAGACCAGAGGCAAGTCGGCTCTCCAAAAGCTGGCTCACATCGACTACGCTGGTGCTTTCATGCTGGTGAGTGGTCTCCCCTTAAGATTTAATCACTTCACAAGATACTTTACCGGTAGCTAACACTCTTGCAGGTGTTAACCATCGTCCTCTTCCTCTACGGCCTCTCGGGCGACATCAACCCCCTATCCCTACTCCTCTCAGCCGTTTCCCTCTTACTCTTCATCCTCATCGAATTCAAACTCGTCACGGACCCCATCATCCCAATCTCCGTCCTCTCCTCCAGGGGCGTCCTGCTCTCCTGCACCGCCCAGCTGCTCTTCATGTCCATCCGCTGGACCCTGCTCTACTACACCCCAATCTTCGTCCTCGCCGTCCGCGGCTACGCCCCCGCCATCGCGGGCTCCATCCTCATCCCCACCAACATCGGCTTCGGCTCCGGCGGCCTCATCGTCGGCTGGCTGCACGTCCGCCGCAACGGCGCCTTCTGGTCGCCCTCCGTCATCAGCCTGACGTGCTTCGCGGCCACCATGTTTGGCCTCTCACTCGTGGCCACCGAGACCTCGCCGTTTGCGGTATTCGTGCTGGCCGTCGTGCTCAACGGCCTCGCTACGGGCGCAACGCTGAATTATACCCTCGCGCACCTGCTGCACCTCAGCCATCCGGACGAGCACTTCATCTCGACGTCGCTACTCGGCACGTTCCGCGGGTTCGGAGGCAGTTTCGGGACCGCCATTGGCGGCGGCGTGTTTTATCGCCTCCTGCGCTCGGGTCTGGTCGCCAGCTTCACGGAGCTGGATGGCGGCGAGCGGCTGGCGGAGGGGCGGGAGGAGCTCATCACGAAGCTCATTGGGAGTCCCGCGCTGGTGTTCCACGGCGGGCTAAGTCCCGCCGAGCACGAGATCGCGGTGGAGCACTATGCCGGTGCCTCGAGGGGCACGTGGCGGGCTGCGGCGGCGTTGGCGGTCGTTGCGATTTTGTGTCAGGCGAGTACGGGGTGGAGGAGCCCTGTTGGTGGGAAGGAGGTAGATGATGAGACTGAGGCGAGGGCTACGGTCATGGAGAACGAGGGCGTCGGGGAGGCGTAGTGAACGGATGGGGAGCATCCCATGGCGGAGGGCTCGGCTATAGCATATCGCATGGGGCGTAGTGAGTGATGTTTTGAGCGTTGGATGTTGCATCATACATGTAGGCACTGCCATGTGGCACCGCCATTTTGATATAATTGTTTTGCCGAAGTCTTTGACGTTCTCCAAGATGGGGTTGGCTTGTATATTAGTCTGGAAATACAGCAGAGGCGAGATGTTTATATAACAGGACGAGACATATCCTCCTTGCTTCCACTCGCTGAACAGAGACGAGTATCAGTCTTTGCGTCTGGGTAGTCTTGCTTAGAGTAGAATCACAGGAGCGGTCTGCATCTGATCGGTACGAGACTTCCTCATCGAGGGGCATGACGTTTCGCCGCTAGGAGACGCATCTTAGAATAGAAGGGATTCTGGCGATGAAAGACCGAAGTTCACATGCAGCCAGGATTTATCAAATTCATTAGGACCGCTGAATCACTGTTGAGTCTTTGCTCTTCTTTCGCAGGTTACTGGAAGCATAGACCTCCTCCAAACTCTGCAGGCCTCGTACCATCGAGTGGTCACTAGGCTCTGGCGCAGGCGTCTGAAGGCATCAGAGTCGGCATGATAATGTTTACACCGGGCCCATTTGACTATGCGTGCTGGCTTGAGGACCCAAGTGCCAGTCTTCAACACGGGACGTGATGCTGCCTTTGACACGCAAAGTGCTGTGGATGAGATTCGTTGTGGTCGACCTGCCGTCGCTAACACTGGACCAAGGCGGGGCATGTCTTGAGCAAAGAAGCGCTCCGTGGTCGACGATTTATTCTCGTCGGTGAAGAAGAAGGAAAACGAATTGCCAATTACTGCGAGGAGGGAACGGAGGCGTGTACTCGACGGGCTCATTATCAAAGTGTGCGAAGGTTGTCCGGTTGGGTTGGGCGAGTTGCACGGGTAAGTCGGAAGACAGCACGCCGTCACTCTTCCGATACCTCGGCCCTGATAACAGGAGTCCAGACCCAAGACCAGCACTGGTGACGCGAGAGGCAAACATTGTCGATTCATCGATAGTGGGTTACATATGGTCTGAATGCTGACTGTCGAATGGGGGCTCGGTGCTTGTCGTGCTTGGGTTGATCGTGTGACGTTGGCGTGTATGTTGTCATGATGTTGCCAAAAGAATCTCCCTTTTCTTTTGAGGCATCTTCATATTGTCCTGCAACATTGTCGTCATGCCGGCTGTCGTCTTTCGTTCTCAATGTGGTATCCGAGTAGCAGTCCAGCCTGCGATTCAATGGCATCTCGACTTCTGAAGCTCTGCATTGCTTTTCATAAAAAAGTTACGAAACCCGCATATCCGGGCCGGTTCTATCCTTGGCGTCGGTAGTTGTCTGTCATAGAAATCGAAAACGGCCAGATGAACTGATCTGCTTCGCTTCTTATGTTCTTTTCGTGCTGGGAGTCTTGGCCTACATATCTCGAGGGAGATGCTCCACCTTGGCACCGTATCTATGTTTCTCCACCAACGGAGCTCGTCGACGATTGCGAACCCGGCGAGAGATGATTCTGCACCAATGAAGTTGTAATAGGTTGTTGACCGCGTTGGATCACGATGTGCTTCCGATTGATTGCCAAGAAATTTGTTTCTTGGAGCAAAGGGTCGAAGCTGACGAGGAGTTGAAAAGTTGAAACCCTCGAGAAATGGATCTAGACCTCGAAACCCTTGGCTTCGTGTTGGGATGCTCGGAAGAAGGCGAGGACGGGGGCTCGAGGCCCCACACTCGCGGGAGCCGGAAGTCGATTCACTCATATCCACGAATTGTCGTCAAGACACGATATTATGAGCCCACCTGGATGATGTGACTTTCGAGTTTCGAAGCGATGGAATCAATTTGAAGGAAACTTTGCGAATGAGTGAGATGAATGAGGGGTGGGCCACAGGAAGCTTGCCAGGTTCCACCTTTTAGGCCATCGTGGACCTCTCGGAGTTGATACCTTTGCCAAACCGACCAACGTGTGATTGTTGGACGGGCAGATAAGCTTGTGCTAAGTAAGGGTGCTTTTATTTCTCCGAGCGCACATTGGCATCTGCAGCAGCGGCTATGCCGGTTGCAGTGGTTGTAGGACCGAAGACGCGGTAGACGGAGGGTGGTTCTGGAGACTGGTCCATGATGCGGGGACCGGTTTTGCGCCCCGGAGCGGCTGTGGCTTTCCTGGAGCTGAACCGTTCTTGTTAGATGGGCTGGTTTGGGCTGGTCTGGTCTATCCGTACGCCAAGGGAATGAAGGGTTACCGTCCATCTTTAGCCATCTGCAGCAGGTTGGCGAGCTTCCAGAAAGGTCGCCCAACGACACGGCGGTTGTTAGCAGGAGGTGTGGTCAACGGCTGGCGATCCCGAGGATATCGTATTGAAAGAGGCGGGGCCCAATCAAATATTTGCCGATTGTGTTTCCACAATTTGTTTCCCCAGAAGGAGCGATCTCCGTCAAAGGCACAAGCCGTTCGTTCAGAGACAAGTTACAACGCTAGATAGAGACCGGAACTGGCCCGAGAAGGGGTTTGTTTGACTCATCAGCAACAGCTGCGTGACTTCTCCTCAAGGACCAGCAATTGTTTCATGAATTGACGATCCAGCAGGTGGAGAATATCTAGGACGAAGTTACGTACGAAGTGCAGAGTAAAGGCGGCCGCACATAGACCACTGGTTCTCAAGAGAGACAGATTTGGCAAATTTGGCCGAAATGTTCAAAGTGTAACTTGTAAGTAAGTAATACCAAGACCATGCAAGTCGGGAGAGGTGAACTCTGCCGCTTTCAGGCTAAGGGATAAAGGCGACATGAAGGCTTGACATTTGTGCGGTAAGCGACATGGGCCGCGGAAGATCTCTCTTTTGCTCGGCTGCAACTACACATCGAAGAGGCATGGAGGTTTGTCGTAAATGAGACCGATGGCTTGAAGATAATGGTACAGTCTGGACGCCGATAAAGTTAAGGCCAAGGTAGCGCTATATGCTCATGTACAGGTTGTGACAGGTGAGCCAAGCCGGTCAAACATGATCATTGGCGGGTAGTCTGACGAGGTACATCTGTTGTTTGGTGCATTTGCGGCTTGCCCTGCCCTGTGAGGGTTGAGATGAGGTGATGCTCTTCTCTAGAGACAGAGAGATGCAGGTTGTAGCGGTATTCGTAACTTCCATGGTGAGAGGTGTGAGAGAGGTGTGTGTGAGAGTATGTGAGGAATCCTTGAACCATGCAAAGGAGTTTCCCTTCCCTCCCAGCGGCACACTAACGGTGCCAAGTCGTCCCGAATGGCGTGGACGGAGCATCGTGTGATTGGCGGAGAATCTTTGACATTTAAATCCCGGAAATAGGGAAAATGCGGCAAATCTTTGCGGCGACCAGACAGCTCGGGGGAGCACCCCCCCCACCCCCTCCTCCCCTCCCCCTTCTCCCCTCCTCCTTCTCCCCTTCCCAAACTCTCCCCAACTCTCCCCAGCCAAGTTGCTCTTCAGGGGGAATTACAGCCACTGACCAGCAGTTACCTCGACTTGTCAGAGTCTCAAGGAACCCACAAGGGATGGCGCTCCCCCATGCTTTCCCCATTTACCCCACCATTTTGGTATGCACGAGTCGCCATTACAGGTCCCCAGGCCCAGGGCCAGGAGTACTCGGGTCCCGCACATCTCCAACTTCCTCTTCAACTCGCGTGCTTGTCCCAAATGTCTCTTCATCGTAGACGACCATCAGGTACCTCGCAGCTTTGAGAAGCAACGTAGCTTTCCCCTTACCAGGTGTCTTGAGTTGAGGCGGCTCCCTCCTGTCCACACCCTCAGCAGTAACGACAACAACAGGACCATCAACAGAGGGAAAGGAATTCCCCCCCGAACTGCCAGATACAGATTCACATCGAGCCTTACTTGTCTTGGAACAGGATCATCGTTGGACGGTGTTCTAGCCGGCCTGCAACTGAATCCCATCGAGGGCCAGTCCAGCACTTCCAGCTCGGCCTCATTATCCCATCTAAACGCAGGCAGGGAGTGTGTACCTTAGCTTGCCTCGCCTCGCCTCAAGTCAGGAACATCGGCACAACCAATACTTGCTTCTTTCGTTCGTTGACCACCGGGACCCAAGCTTTCCTTCCTGTGGCCCCGGGCATCCAGTCAGCAAAGAGCAGGCGTCTTCCTTGGGACCAACACCCCTGGCAAGACTCCAGAGACGTGCAGGAGCATCTGAGAAACGGCAGCAAAGCCAAGCCGTAGCAGCAATAGCAGCAGCGGTACCACAACCACCACGACCACAACCATCAGCCAACGTCGTGCTTCTCCTCCTCCTCCTCCTCCTCCTCCTCCTCCCAGTCCCCGGCCCCAGCTCCTAGTCCCATGGTAGACTCCTAGTCCCAGTCCCAGTCTGTCTGCCCCATGCCAAGCTCTCCGGCTTGCCCCTCTGCCCCCTTCTGGCTCTTGTCAAGCAACTCGGTGGAACGCAGCGTCTGTGGTGGAACAATTCGTCTTCCCCAACTTCCATCAATCTTTCCGTCTCATCCACCAACGACAAGCAGCGGATTGTCCATTGCGATTCGACTTCGCCGGCTATGCCGTCCAAAGTCCACAACGAGTCTATTCACACTCTAGACCCCGTCATCCCAGCAATATCGCTCCTACCAATGGTCCCGGTCTGGTCAGGGATCTCCAGCCTCTTGGTCTAGCCCAAACTTCCATACCATACCGCAAGAAACTCATACGGATGAAGGAGAACCTTGTTCATTCGTTCCTCTCACAACGTTGTTCTGCTCCGAAAGCTACCGCGCCGCCGCCTCGGCGCTTCCCTGTCGGCGAATGAATCCCTTCTCCACGCCAGACTACTGACCACCTTGCGGCCCTGTCCTTCCCGTGCCATCGGCCGGTTCGTCTCAAGTTCTCAACTCCTCATATTGCAACAACATCCACACAAACGCCATCTTACCCGGTCAGGACAGCTTCCACGCCGCCCATCTGAGTTGAGCTTCTCCCTTGTGCTTGCTTGGCTGCGTGGTCACAAAACTCCCCCACGGTCCGACTCGCGCGCCACATGCGACTGGCCCTGCAACACCATCACCAGAGCTTCAATCGAGATTTCTGCCGCCTGCGGTTGGCACGCATCCCAAGCCCGCCTGCGCTTCAAGTAGACGAACCAGCCCACCCTTGGAATCGCGAGCCTCCAGTCCTGCATAGGAAACACCTAAAGCAACTCGCGAATTGGTGGAAGAAACTACTTGACCCCAGCAAATCGGTCCATAGGGCTCTCTTCTCGTCGTCATCGTCTTGTTGTAATCGCACGCGGACGGGGCTTCTCTTACTCTTATCAATCGCAGCCTGCGGAGCGCATATCACGCCCCCGATTTCAAGGGCACGTCGTATGCACCAGCCTCACGACGACCCCCACCGGCTTCCTCTTCCCGGCCGCATATCTCTTTAACACCATCAGGTCACCTGACGCACCTCGGCCCTGCTCTGTCTTCTCTGTCACAGCACACCTTTCATCCCCGCTGTGACCCCTCGAGTCTGCTTCCATTCGTCCCCCCCCCCCCGGAACTGTCATCTTGGATCACCAGTTCGTCTTGTCATGGGACTTTGGCCAGACATAATCAACATCGCTAATCACCGCCACCATACTTCCTTACGGTCAACCCAGTCGTTCTGAAGGAGGAGAAGGGGAGGGAGCGGTTTATCGTGGCTTCGTCTCGTATTCTTCACCTCAGTACACCGTCCCGGGAGTGACTGCTCGTTTCTCGCAACTCGAAATCCACGGCTCTTCAAGCGCTGCCATGGCATCAGTACACCAACTCGGCGTCGGTCCAACACCGGCGCGCCCTCGAAGCATGGTTGGTTCGGGTAACCAAGACGTCGAGATGGACGTTGACCGCAACGCCAGCCCTGCCATTACCACGGGCACAAGGTTCGGGAGTGCTCCTCAAAGGGGAGACACGAGGATCGTTGTTATCCTGTATGGGACCGGCCAGGACAAGATTGTGTCCGTCTTCGCAGATGTTCTGGGGAAACCATTTGTCATCCGCTCTGCGTTCCAGGAGGTCAGCGTTGCTGATCAAGGGCTTGCGGTTGGCATTCCGGCAGAAGTCGCTGCAAAGGACATTAGCTCTCGCAATAGAGAGTTGGTTGTGGCGATCAACGCCCACTGTGTCAACCTTGGGATGCCACCGGACGTCTTCCTCTCAGCTCAGTGCGACTACGAGTTTCTCTACACCGAAGCACCATTCTTTCGTCGAGACTTGTCGAGATTCATCTCCTTCACTCTAGGCCAGATCTGCCACCACGAAACGTTGATGCAGAAACCACGAACGTATTTCATCTCTACTACGTTCCCAGACGTTAGTGCTGCGTTGCCAAATATCGACATCCTCACTGTCGGCGCCGACGCGGTGGAAATTCGTGTTGATCTTCTCAAGGAGCCCCTTGGCGACGGCACATATTCGGCCATCCCAAGCCTCAGCTACGTCGGACAGCAGCTGATGCTCTTGCGTCAGCGGACAGAACTTCCCATAATTTTCACCACTAGGTGTACAAGAGAAAACGGCCGTTTTCCTATGGAGAACCCCGATATTTACTACGAATATCTTTACCGAGCAATTCAATGGGGAGTTGAGTACATCGACGTGGAACTATGGCTTCCGGAAGCCATTCGAAAGAAGCTTTGGGAACAAAAAGGAAGCAGTCGGATCATGTCTGCGTTTCACGACTTCTCTGGTACTTTCAAATGGCCCTCGTCCCAAGCCGAGCAGGTGTACGTTGAATCAAGCAAGTACGCCGATATCATCAAGATGATTGCCATCATCAACGACCACAACGAAAACTTCGAGTTGGAGTACTTCCGCTCGAAAATGCGAGCAGACTATCCGGATTCACCGCCATTCTCCGGGGTCAACATGGGAGAAACCGGCCAGTTCTCACGAACTCTGAACAAGGTGTTCACCCCTATCACTCATCCCTTG